AGACAGGAACCCAGGTAAATACAGAAAAGACGGAGGTTATGAAGGTAAACAACCAATAGCAACAGTGAAAACAACAACCGACAAAAGTCACCGCCAATAGGAGAAATTCCACGCCAGTCACTTCCTTCACTTATCTAGGAAGTATTGTTTCAATCACAGGCTAGTGGAACGCATGAATATATCAAAGCTAGCCAGAATAGGAGAGGAGAGATACACCTTCGTCACCCTGAAACAATTATGCAAATCTTCTGCTCTCACTCAGCATAAACAGCAAGATCCGGATTTTCAACATAAATGTCAAGTCAGTCAACCAGTCAGTGCTTCTATACGGGTCAGAAACTCGGCCTGTGCGTCACAATAAGGATTTGTAACAAGTCACAGCAGACTTTTACCAACGACTGCTCACTTCACCGCCTCCATGCGGTGTTACACAATTAATACTAACTTTTGTAAGTGTTTCAGCCACATTGCAATTTTATTTTATTTATGTTGCTATTTGTGATAATATTTTACACTTTTCACAAGAACTTCGGTTCAGTTAACATATATCATAATATAATTCATCTTTATGTTTTATTTCATTATGAAGTTGCATTGTTTATTACTGCAGAGTTGACTAAGATTGATGAGCTAAAGTATATTCGCTTGTATTGTTTTACAACTTGTTTAGCATTCTTACTTTGCTTCCTTATTTTATTTTCAAGTGTATGTAGATTACAATGTGTTAAGTTATGGAGTGTTCAATGAAGTGATATAACCACTTACAGCAAATCAATTAATGAACTGTATTATTTCACTGTATTGTTGTTTAAAGTGGTTGTGTGTAGACACATTAGTGTATAGTAAACTTACAAAAATAATGCATTTCCTATTGAACAGCTGATTAGAAAACAGTTTCTCTAAAGAATGTATGTATTGGTTAATAATACACATTTTTACTCTTTTAGATTTATATATAGTAAGAATAAAGGTTGTTTATCAGATTGCTGAAAATGCACATTTTTGTCCCCACCAACCTATCTCTGTGGTGAATTCGTCGAGATAAAGTGGATGATAATAAAAGAAGGAATTCAAATGAAGTTTTTCTGTGTTAGAAATGAATTTTGAAGAGATCTGCCAATTCATTTTTACCAGCCTGTTTTACATTTGATGATCAGAAAAGCTTTTGAGTTTCAGTCGTACGAATAATAGAATGGATCTGATTCGTATATTATATAACATTCTCATTCTATATTTTTGGTGTAAGTTGTAGGAACTCTTTTATGTCAATCAAACCATCCATGTTTTTATCGCATGCAGACATCAAATGGTATTCATCATTTTCCGATAAAACTAAGCCATTTTCTTTCAAAAGGTCATTCAGCTTTTGTACAGATATTTTTCCTTCTTTGCTAACATCTAACTTTCGAAATGCTTCACGTAATGTTCTGTATTTTCTAAAGCACTATATAACAGTTGAAATAAAAAATAAAGCAACAACAAAATGATAAAATATTGTTGTTATTGTTATTGGAACAGGATATAATTTATGAATATTGTGTGAAATGAAATGTCTGTATTCACTTTATCATTTATATTTCAACGAAATGTATTTTCATGATTTCAGTCACTTCTCTCTTCTGAGATTTATACCTTCCTCCTTCCGGTGGTCTGTAGAAAGCAACTTTGCACTCAGTCACAGTTCTAAAGCAGTCCTTAACGTTTCAACTAAAAATAATAGTACTTATTGAATTATTCTAGCATTAACTGTTTGACAGTACACAATGATAAACAGTTCTTAGATAGATAATGGCAGTTTTCCAGTTTTCTTGTCAATTATGTCTGATATCCTTTAAATATAATATTACTTAATGCTTTTTTCTGTTGGTTATTCCTGGATGGCTGGAGGCAATCGGTGGGAAAACTTAGACCAAGATTTCGTGCTTGTTAGCACTCGTCAGCAAGGATTGCCCACAGCCTTGAAGGAACCCATGTCCCCCCTAAGATTTGAGTCCGTGTAACCCAATAGTGAAGTCAGAGACGTTATCGTTCAGCTACTCAGGCTGGTGAATGACCTCCTGTTGAACCGTATTAAGTAATGTGATTGGGTACCAGGTAGTAAGTAACGAGTGTAATATGTCCAGTCCTTTGTTAAGTGCAGCCCAAATAGCTCAGCGGTAACGTCTCTAACTGTAGGACTTTGAGACGCGGGTTCCAAATATTACAGAGCATATGAGTCCTTTTAAAGTTGCAGATACACCTTGTTGACGAGTGCCAACAGCCAAGAAACCTAGGTGCTAGGCTTTCTACGAATCGCTTTCAACCAACTAATAACAGTAATTCTGAGTAAATCATATTGGTAAGCTGATCCACACTGTGGTCACATTGCAAAGTTGAATTTAGTCTGCGCCAAACAAAGTACCAGAGGCATGAAAATAGTTACTTACCATCTAGTTTTCAGTCAGAATACTCCTTTTTTTAAAAAGTGGTAGAAGGTTAGTGGATTACTATATGTTCAGCTTACAACCTTTCTCTCCAGTAATCAGTTTGTGATTCGCCTTCTGAAAGGTAGATTACTTTAATAGTATATATGGGAATTAGCTAAATTTGTTGTCGACTTATAGCCTCATACTATACACTACATTGATTTCTTATGACTAATATGTATCAGCGCAGAGCCGTACATTAGAAATATGGATACCTGTCGTACGCATAATAATGTTGATTGATGCTACACGTATGGATGCATAATTATTTTGAATTCAACAGTCTACATCATTTGAGTTTTTGAAAAGTTTAGTGGCCTTTTCGCCAGTAAAGAATAAATTAACTAGAACTACACTCATTCAATGAAGTGTTTTAGCTGTTTTGTCCAATTTAGTACACTCAAATTATAATGGCCAACTTACATTATCACGAATAAATCGCAGTGTATCGCTGAGAGTCAGAGTTTTTCCTGTTCTCTGGAAAAAGAAACAATAACACCATTTATTTATATATTCATCAAAGCTTCTTCATTAATATATAAACACCTATGAATATTTTTATTGCGGTAAATGCTAAGACATAAGAGAAATAGAATAAATTAGTTTTCAGTTATGTATCACTGCCAAACAATAAACGCTTAAAACCATTTTCATGAAATTCAGGAGTAAAACCTTAGGTTGATATAAATCCCGTTTATCCAAAAAGACTCAAAACTAAACGGAAGAAAACGATTTATTTATTTATACTTATCTGTGTCTTTAATTTAGATAGGAAAACAATGATAAATGAATTCAATGAAGCACATTCTATATATATATATATATATATATATATATATATATATAATTAGTGGATATCCTTTTGTTCAAGTGGACCTGCAGCTAGGCAAGCAAAAGACAAGAAACACACCAGTGAGACAGCATGTGCGAGCAATTCGCAAGTCGCTGCAATCAACTGGGTGAAAATTGCCACGAAGCAAACTGTCATTCTGATCGTGTCTAAACCTAACGTATGGTATTAATACCTATGAAAATTTCGTACACTGGTGGAATTATCAGCATTGATGAGATGTTCGACTGTCGCACTCCTTATACAGCCAGTATTAATCATTCTGTCTTAAACATCTCATTAGGAGTGTTTCGGCTAGACAGCGTATATCTCCTTACTTTAGTCACACCAGCATTTGTAGACGATGGATTGCTGGCAGGTTTCGGTAAGTCTACAATAAATATCTTTAACCTGGTCCTGTTTCAGCTTATATCACTCGTTGTAGAAGGCGATGTTCTCCCATTCGTCACCCATGCTTTGATTATCCCTTTGCTCGTAGACTGACTTCCTCCCTGATTTGAGACTCTAAGGTTGATCATATTGTTACTAACCATATAGCACAACCTAACATGAAAGACTGGATGAAGGCACTTGTAGTCAAAAGCATCCAGTTTCTTCATGGCATACACAAACCATTGGAATTATGTAACAGCTACACAGTATACGTGTCGTTTAATAGGTATCAAAATGTCAAGTCTGCGCGATGGATGATACATTTTGGTCAATGGCCTAATGAATCTTATGTGTCCATGCTAGAATTTTTGTTAGCAATCAGGCCATAAGGCTGATGCAACTTTCCGACTAAATGATTTTGTAAAAATTCCCATTTATGTCACTACCAATTTAGAAGCATGTACTTGGTGCAAACGAGTCCTTCACTATTGCTATGTTATATCTGACAGATGCGAATCACACGCCAAACATACTTAGGCTTAAACTTAAGAGGAGAATTTGAGCACAGCAGTAGAATATAGTCCCATAACAGATATATGATACACAGTGATACAGAATTAACATACACACACAACTTATTACTCATAACTGAATCAGTGTGATTACATAATTTCCCCACTCTTATCAGATAGTTTCTGACTTCTTCCTCTCTGTTAAAGTAGTCTGCCATATATCCGAGATTATCCAAAAGAATATAGTGCATTAAATGTAGTGGATGTGAGGTCAAATGAATAGCTCATACAAATACTTTCACTCACTATGTGTAGAGATGTGAAAAGCGTTACTCAAGTTTCTGCAGATAACCAAAGAAAACGGTTTCTACTTTTTTGAATTTGGTCACTAATGTCATGAAGTTAATGTTTGGGGTACCTTTACTGGTTCACCTAAAGTACTTCCCAAAAATTTAAAAACTAGGTATACTAAAATCATTTACATTTATAAATATGCATTAGCGTGAAATAACTTACTAGATTAGTGAATTTATACGGATAATCAGCATAGGGATCTGGCAGTGGTTTTTTTCTTGAGAACTTTTCAGAAATAAACTCCAAAAATCTTATGTAGTTCACACTTAAAATGAAAAAAGACTGTTGTTAACAAAAACATGCATAGAAATATGTTTATTTCATGTTTCTACTCTTTCCATGAGTAAACTTGAATAAAGCGAAAATGACAAATGTACCGGAATAACAAAAGCCTATTTTTATCACTTCGTGGATTCTTCTCAACTAGCCACAACCTGAGCACTACAGAAATTAAGATTACAAAAGTGTTTTGAACATACCATTCACGCCACAACAAGAAGTAAGTGATTGGAACTATAAGTAACATATGTCTGGAACGGCATAAGTTGTTAAATTGTTAGGAGCTAAAGGGTTTGACTGCTTATGCGATAGTTATACGAATACTCTTGAAAAAAGGGGTTCAACATTTTGAGCAGAAACAAGTTTAACTAGAAAGAGTAGACCAACACAATAAGTTTTGTAACAACAGAAAATATGCTTTTATAAAATAGCAAAAGAGTAGGAAGACGAGTGCTATTTAGATGAAATAGTATGGTAGATTTGTCTAATTATCGTGTAAATAGTTAATTCATTTAGTTACATTATAGATAACATTTAATTTGATAAAGTCACATAGTATTATACATTAGTACTTACTGATGACCTTTCGAGCACAATTTATTGTCCATAATCATATCTACGTGCTCACACAGCTTCTAATGAAGCAAGAAAGTTGTGTGACTACCTAGTTTAAAACAGTGCAGACTTATTCACTCTTTTTTATCTTCAATATCATCCAGCTTGTATAAATATTTTAGAGCTCATCTTCTTAATCATCTTAAACGATTTATGGTCTCTACTTTTGATTGATACCTGTTCTGTTCTGGTTACTCATTACTGTTCCCATTTGTCACGAAAACGTTTAGTCATATTACTTCCGATCTTTGTTACATTTTAAGCCTGAAAACCTGAGTCCTTTTACATCAATAACACTTATTTATGCGCAACTGGGTTCTGTAAATAAATGCATGATTTGTCAGTTCACTCAGCCAGATTGCAAGTTAACATAGAGAATTTAAGTCTAACTAAATGCATCCTATTATTGAGAGCACTTTGGGATAACAAAGTTCTCAATTTGCAGGCTTTTTCTGACATTCTGATGTAAGACTGTTGAATTATCTCACTTTAATGCACGATATTTAGGCAGATTACATCAATGGGCACCTAGGGAATGAAATTTACCACTTAAAACACTATAATATCGAAATAAAATAAAAAACCAGGGTAACAGTAATGTTACGTTAAAATGTTAAGACGCAGTTCATTACTAGAACAATGGCCAACAGAAAAAATTTATTCAGATACTTTACTTACTATCCTTTTTCACGTGGTTGAAATCCTCTTCCTAAGTCATACATTTCTTTGTAACCCAAGGGTACTCCAAATGATTGTAGTATTTCCTAAATTGAAATAAATCTGTTTACATGTAAATTCAGACATCGGTATATATGAGCTGCCTAAAATTGCACACAGTTTAATAGGCACTATAGTATAGCTGAATAGGAATACTTTTAGTTGAATTCTTTAATCGTTTTTATATTTATATGTAGTCTTCTGGGACCTAGTTTCTTAGCAGGTCCTTGAGTTGTCATCTAAAACTAGACTACACGTATACAAAGTGAATGAATTCCTTCAGTCCTAAAGCTTTATATTTATTATATCAACAGTGGTATTTTTCAGTTAGTTCATTTGTCTAGGTAGACTGTTGGTTAATATTCTCATTTGTAAGTTTATCCTCTGAATCTGTGAACAACGTTCATTTTCAAACTATAAGAATTAATTGCATAAATAGGTTAGTTGTTTCCTGTAACAAGAAAAAGTTTGTTCGTCAGAATTTTCATTTTAATCGAAAACAGACTTATTGTATAAACTTCGTTGACGTTTTACCCGATGAAATTAGCTGTTTCCCAAAATGATGAAAAGATTATTATATTCATTTTTGCATTAAAATTTGGGCAATTCGGTTATCGGTTCATGATGTACGTATCTACACCATTAACTCGAATAAAATAAATACACGTTATCTAAGCATCATAAATGTCAGCGAGCATTAAACTATTTCAAGTGGATATCCGTCATACTTCATTACTTAAGTAATCACGATTAAACCTCATGCCAGAAATAGTAAGGTAAATGATAACTGTGCAAATGCGTGCGGACATTTAAAATTAAAATTCATACAATATGGTTAGTACATAGAATCTGATTCGTTGATTTTAATATACAAAATATTATAGAGAAGATTTGTAGTTCAGGTGGATAATTTTGATGTGGTTTTGCTCTCTGAGCTGGATGGTTAGTTTGCGAATCTTTCATCGCCCTACTGGGTGACATCTTCAGCGCATACTTCAATTTGAAGTGAGCTTTTAGGTTTCTCCACGAGTTTATTAATCATTCCTCCTGGTGACCTTGGACGTGATTGGTTGTTTATGTGTGTTTACACACCTTCCAGGTTACTTGTGTTGGAACTGATTGTTTCTGTGACTTGAACTTTGACCCTTTGTGTGTGAAGTTTCTTTCTTATTGGTTGATAAATTTTGTCTATCTCGATGTGTCTATTGATTGATGATTCACTGGAATGCCAAGCTTCTAAAAATTCTCTAGCATTCTTGTTATTTCCTTTGTCTAATATTCGAACGTTGTCCCAGTCGAATTGATGTCCATCGTTGTCTGTGTGTAGTGAAATGAGGGAGTGTATATCATGTCTTTTGACGGCTAGCTTATGTTCGTGGATACGAAGACGAAGGGGACGTCCACTTTGGCCAATGTAGTGTTTTTCACAGTTGTTACAATTTATTTTGTAGATGATGTTGGTTTTGTCTTCTTTTGCTGTTCAGTCTTTTGGTTGACATAGAATTGAGTGCAGCGACTTTGTTGGTTTGTGTACGACGACAATTCCTAAAGGTTTGAAGAGTCTTGTAGTGATTTCTGAGATATCCTTTATATATGGTAAGGCGATTTTCTTTGTGTTTTCCTTGGTGGCTTTTGTTTTGGTAGGTTGGCTTGGGGGTATATATCTCTTGATGAAATTCCGTGGATATCCATTCTTTTGGAAGACGTCCATGAGATACTTTTCTTCAATTTTTCTCCCACCTTAAGAAACCTAAAAGCTCACTTCAAATTGAAGTATGCGCTGAAGATGTCACCCAGTAGGGCGATGAAAGCTTCGCAAACTAACCATCCAGCTCAGAGAGCAAAAGCACATCAAAATATACAACATACCTGAAACTGGTCCCAGGTTACATTTCTAGATCCACCTGGATCAGCATCGATAAAAGCATGTTTGAGATCTTCCCATTTATCCAATACAACACCAGATGCCTTTTCACATAATTTGAAGATTTCTTCGAACTTTTTCTTTTCTTCTAATGGCGGTTTAGGTGGAAATGTATTCATCAGATACGATGTTTTCTTCATATTCCTTTCAAGTTCTCGTCGACACTTTTTCGTTCTTCTGCACCAATGTTTGAATTCAGTTAGATTTGGATCGCGTATATCTAGATGGTGTGAAACAGTAAATTTACTGCCCTTCAAAAAAATACTAACAACAGCGTAATGAAATAATACTAGAAATCCTTTCTCAGTTTAAAAGTTCGTCGAAAATTTTTGTTAGAAATATACTGGTTGATTTAAGATAAATGCTTCAAATAAAATACGAATTTCCTAAACGAAAAAAGACTGTTTATCGTTCATCAGTTGTGATTAAGTAACAGGCTAGTACTAGATTTAAAGCCACTGCGACAAAAAGCACCCAAACAGTAACCTACTAGGAAATGTATTGATTTTTCGGATGAAATGGATCACTCAGACTCATTTTTACATAAAAAAGACATCTGGAAAGTCAAATTCAAAAGTAAGTGCGCGAATTTAGGAAAAATTGGGATTACTCTTCCAATTCCACTGTGCGAATAAGTGATTCAAACAGACCAGCTTAAATTAGCCAGCAGCAAATAATTCAAATATGATGAAATAAGTAGTGTTTTGTATAAAAGTATTCTCTAGCAGCTGGAATTCGGAGACTCAAAGTATTTCACTTTCGAAACTCAGAGGTTATTACTGACAGAAATGCGTAGAGTTTGAATGTAGGAAAGTGTCCATGTCTGTGTTTATACAATCAGCAGTAAGTTGTGGTTTTTAAGTAAGACACTTAAAGATAAGCTTTGTGTACACTTTTTATTTGGTTTTCTGCATACAGTAGTATCACGTTTTTATGCATAACTGCTACTATTGCATTTTGACCGCGAAATATTTCAATTTACATATCTATTAAGCCAGTGTCTCTTGTAGATCTACTGGAAATTAATTTTAGATACAAGACGCGACCATATAATCAGCCAACCTACTTACAAGCAATCATCTCCGGAACATTTATGTATATACTATATCAAAATTAGCAGTACATGAGGTGAACTATATTTCCGAATAACAAATTAATTTATGATTTTCTTGTTGAACTGGTGTTGTCATATATCGCTGTCTTATTATTTTACAACGATTGCCATTATACAGTTTTTTGCTTATTACTAATTTCATTTTGCAGTTTCACGCGAAACCTTAATTACTGATTTGGAAATAGCTGGTAACTGTGAAAAGATAAATTTGGTTTAGGCCAATTGACCTTCAAGCGGTTTTGAATTCACATACACTCATAACGTTTTTTCATGATTATGAAAAAGTAACTTAAACTAAATTTAAGGAGTTTTGCTATTAAACTCCACTGCCCACTCAGTATAAGTTTTCAGTCCATTTATTGAGTAAGTGTCTTAAATAACCACCATCACTATGACAGACGGTCCATATGTTAACTGAAAAACTATCATAATAACTTACTGCGAACGGCTGTAGAAAAATAAAACAAACGTTAGTCAATTAATTTCTGTAGAAATAAGTCATTGCTTACGAAATTATAAATAATAAAACGGTATTCACAATGAAAATCATTTTTGCGTAATTCAAACTTCATTACTTTATTAGAAAATTTTCGCGATGAGTAAAATGAATTTGTAGAAAAACTAGCTAGTAATTTCCTGTTAATAAGTTCAATAAGAAAAATACTTCTAGATATTAGTAAAAGGGACAACTAACAAAGTATAATGTGAATTCATCTTGTTTGCAGGAATAGAGATTCTTATTCTGAATACACAATGCAAATGTATATTTTTTACCAGCAATCAAATGTAATTATAACTGATATATATTCTCACTACTATAAAACATAACAATTACTTGCATTTGACCGACTAAACTCATGAGTCAAACAGTGGAATTAAAAACTAAATAACTGAGATCCTATCACTCCTTTCTTCTTTTTGTTAAAACTTACTCATTAACACTTTCGAATAGCTGTTTTGTAGCAAAAATTGTAACGAACAAATAAGTTTATTCCAAAATAAATCTACCTCCTGAATATTTGAACCAAAAGGCAACTACTGAAAAGTTCATATTATGCCCAAAAGTGTATTTCCTTCTTACTGAATGATATGCAAACGAAAGGTATTAAAAAAAACTGCTGATAGTGCCACTCATAAGTCTGACTACTTAACAGAGATAAACAGTCTGTTTAACCTGTTTGAATACTGGTCTACCTAAACTTCCATCTGCATATTGCGTCTAATCTGTTGTGTTTTAATTGTCTTTGTGTATCAAAGTATTGCCTCAAATTGCATTATATACTTACACGAAGTTTTGAAACGTTAAAGACCAAATGACTTCCGAGTTTCTAACAAAGCTAAGAAAATCATCACGAGGATTGGCAACGAGCATTAAAACGCACACTTGTACATCTTTGTACCCTTCCTGTTATCACTGGTACAAACTACCGGTCTCTTCCTAACAAGACTCTATAGCTGCAGTCTCTCTTATTCTCTCGCACTTACGACCGTAATCATACTACAAGAAACTTGGCCTCATGCGCTTTATGATAATATTCTTGTCTGACTAAACATTATTAATGTTCCTTTGGTTCCGAGTGGAACACAGGGCTTCAGCAACACATCGTCTCGCTAAATATTTTCGCATTATATAGATAAGATCGGCCTTGTTTTTAAAAGAAATAAAGAGGTGGTGTTAAAACTACTGTTCATTCCCAGTGGTCTATTTCTAACAGTGTTTCACATTCTCGAGTGACTTTATTGACTATATCACTGTCAAACGTCATCCCAAATATTTACGAAAGTATAAACAAACTTTGTCTCAATTATTTATGGACCCCTGACTGTTCCCGCCTGAATCTATCTAATTTTGAGAACAAATTTGCAGTTTTTGCTGATGCTCACCTCAAGAACTCTCTAACAACGGTCACTTCAGACTTTAATTCCTTCGGCTTTTCTTCCTTTCAGTCACTAAATCGTGTAAAAATTGGCACCTTCACTACTAGACTTGACGAAACACTTGATCTAGTGCTCACAAATGACGATGGAATATATGAAGCACGCAGATGTACTCCACTACTGAACCCTGTTCATCGTATTATTCAAGTGTTGCCCAAATATAAGCCAAGTCAAACGCAAGTGTCTTCTCTCACCTTTCCAAGAAAACGTAACAGCGATGTTCCTCACCGAACAATTCACATAATCTTACATGCATGTAGAGGGACACTAACTGGGATCTATTTAATGAGCATTTACTGTATTTCACAATCACTAACTTAACCAACTACCCTAAATTCTAACTCGACATCAGTTGCACGAAAATGTGCGACCATTTCCCTTCTCCACATCTAAAAATGCCACAGAAGGAAAAATAACAGTCTCAAAAGGATTAACGCTTCAATCAAATCTGAAATCCAACGTCTGAATACTGTTTATAACCAAAGAAGGTTTTTAATGAAATTACTGATGGTGGTAAGTAAAGCAATAATGTTCCCTATTATACCGCAAATACTGTAAATAACTCTTTTATACGTTCTCCTGCTGACGTTATCACTTCTACTGATACAAATCATGTGGTTAGTAATTTTCTTGGTTTGAATAGGTTTGATGTTCCCAAATATCTCAAACCCCTTGAATCTTCCCAAAGACTTGATCACGATGGTGTAGTTGCTTTTGTTCTCATAAGATGTGCGAATATTTTATGTCATTCTCTTACGAGGATTTTCAGTGCCTCTTCTTTCAAGGATTTTGTACCCGTCACATGGAAAGACAAAAATTATTCTGGTACCTAAACCATCTAGTGATACGAACGTTAAATTTAGACCCAGTGTAATTACGTCTCCATTTTTGAAATTAATGGAAAAACTGCTTTTACTCAACCTTGAACAGTTTTAGTGACCCTAAACATTCTAGGTATAAAAAAGCAGAAGTAATTTAGATGCTGTTGCTTCTGTCTTACATCATAATAGTGTTTCTCCCTTATCCAAAGGAGCCAGATATGTTCAACGCACCCTCCTTGACTCCACATCTGTTATTGACTCTGTACAAAAATGCCTTTTATTAGGTAAGCTTTTCTTGATACAAATCAAGTTCTGTGCTGTGAACTGGTTGCATTCTTATTTTTTTAACAGAATGCAGTATACTGTACATGAAGGAAAATATTCCTCTGTCTTGCTTAGTGAAGTTGGAGTCACTCAGGGTGCTGTTTTCTCTTTTTCTTTCTTCCCACATGACTCGCCTCCTTCAGAAGAAATCAGCGTCACTGAATATACTGACGATCTGACTTTCCTTGTGCCAGCGGCGTCTTGATCTGGCTTTTTAAAGCCTAATAGCTTTGTGTCGGACATAATTTGGTAATTCAAGCCAAGCGAGCTTACCTTAAATCCTTCTAAATGTCAGACAGTTAACTTCACCTTCAGGCATAAATGTACGCTGCACGAACCTGTCCGTTCACAAGATGTTTATGGCGTAAATTGGTATAGTTCCATCCTATCAGCTTTTTCGGTAATCTCACATCTTGTCAATTTCTGAAATGTTCCATCTAACCTACTACATTAAGAAGTTGGTATATTAAGAAATCACTCAAGCTTCACTTCTACAATTTATTAATCCTTATATTTTGTTCTTTATTGCTGCCCCTCAGTCCTTCCTGGGCTATGCAGAAAGAACTATCTGATTTTGCGAGGGGTATTAAAGGTTGTTAGTATAGCAACTGTTGTGCCCCTAGGTCAACTCGTTACTGCTGTAGTCGACGGGCACCTGAAATGATGCGAGAAATAGACTTTATCCATCTTGTCTGACTATCGATACCCTGTTTTTTCACGACTACCTTTTTGTGTGTTATCAAGTGGCACTATATGTCATTATATAAAACTACATGCTGACACAACCAAGTACAAAATGTCAGCTGTACCCTATCTGGCACACATTCTATGTGATAGAGATAGTGTTAAACGTGAAACTTAGAACTTACTGTGTAACTAACGTGATAAGTGGCTCTTTTATCTTCTTTTGTTTGTAATATATGGTGACGCTATTTTAATTATCTTGTTATTTTAGTTATTAATATTGTTATTATCATTTTACACTTTTTGTGTTGCTACTATTGTAACAACAGAAGACAAGGGCGAAGCAACAGATCGTTTTATTATGAAAATCAACACGTATTTATACATCTTTCAACTACATTATTATAGACAAGCGCAGTCATCTGATTGGTTGTTTAGGTAGACAAACGCAGGCTTCTGATTGGTTGTTTCGGGATTCCTTGACAAATAGAGTTCTCTATCTGCGAATCATATTTTGCCACGTTAACTTTGCTGTGATTGGTTGTTGACTCAGGCTTGTTCATATTTTCTCACGGCCCATATTAGTGACCTAGACCTTAACGTAGATTAGTGCCAACCAATCGGCTAGCAGCCTGCTCTCACCACACTCGTCCCCCGTCAAATACGTGCGACTGAAGTCGGCTTGATCTACTTGGTGCAGGCGTCATCGTTGGCTTGTCTCACTGTATCCATTTCTGGAGCTCGCTGACGTTCACGCGCCTCTCATTGTTCGCCATTGCGACTGTGTCTGCGTAACCCCATCTCGAAGTGACCATATATGGTCCTTCCCACTTTGGAAACTGTTTGCCTGACCCTGTCGAACATTCGTCCATACTTCGGCCCACACCTTCATATGCTGCTTTCGCCCGACCTCCCAGCAGCGTCTCAAGTAGCAGCTCCATCGCTGGCAGATCTTGAACGCCACTCAACTGCGCAGAAGCCTTGAAGTCCTGCCCGAAGATCCATATGTCTCCATCAAAAACTGCAGGGTATAGGCTTTTCATTTGTCGGTAGGCAGCGACACCAAATGTAACAACAGAAGACAAGGGCGAAGCAACAGATCGTTTTATTATGAAAATCAACACGTATTTATACATCTTTCAACTACATTATTATAGACAAGCGCAGTCATCTGATTGGTTGTTTAGGTAGACAAACGCAGGCTTCTGATTGGTTGTTTCGGGATTCCTTGACAAATAGAGTTCTCTATCTGCGAATCATATTTTGCCACGTTAACTTTGCTGTGATTGGTTGTTGACTCAGGCTTGTTCATATTTTCTCACGGCCCATATTAGTGACCTAGACCTTAACGTAGATTAGTGCCAACCAATCGGCTAGCAGCCTGCTCTCACCACACTATCACAAAGTTTGCTAGACTTATGAATGCATTAATATGACCTTACTGACTGCCACATAATTAGATGCAATTAAAGTAACAGCAATTGAAAATTCTTTTAATATTTCTGAAAATGAGGTGCAACAAAGGACACCTGTACCCGATATTATCAAGCAAAATAAGTTTCTTTTTCCAAATTCCTAACGTCCTAAAATATGGGGCGATGAAACTTCAAGAAAGATCCTACTACGAACACTACCTGATATAAAACTAATACGTCCAAACGGATTGTTATCTCTAAATCGATTTATTATCAATCAGTTAAATGGTCGGATAGTGTGGATATAGGTAAAAACGTCGTTTGTCAGTAACTTACCTTCATAACGCTTTTGACGTAGGTATTCTGTGACCAATGGTCTTGTTCTGTTATAGAAAAAGCTCATCACTTGTCGGTAATTGTGTAATTTGCGACCAGGTTCCAGTTTGTCCAGTAGTCCCCATAAAAAGTCAAGCTCTCTTGGCAATAACCTCAAACCTTGACTAGAAAATTTCCAAAAGATTCAAAGCAATTATAAAATCCATTTCGGTTAAATTGAAAATTAAAAGTTTATTATTGTTAATCAGAAAATTTCGTACATATGGAATAAAGAAGAGAATAAAAGCTGTCACACTCAAGCAGATTCGCACATTGCTTATAATTATTGATTAATATTCCCTTCGGTTCCAATTGAAACGTGGGGCTTCAACAACACATCCCACTTTGTTCCATTCTCTGCTGTCCTCTTCAACTACACCCACGACTACCCACAATCGATCATCACCTCCAACTCACACGATCTACCTCATGTCACCCTTGAATCCACCTCAACTCGGCGTTTTCCATTTGGATTCCAGTCGAATGATAGCCTGGAGCGAGATGTCAATCTGCTGCGTTCTCAACGTATGTCCAATCCATCGTAACTTTTTCCTTCATATCTGCCGAACAATCAACTGTTAGCTGGTTTGTTCCAAGCCAGAGTTTCTTATTGCTAATTCTTTCTGGTTGTCTGGCTGGTAATTTGATCTTCAACATGGAGCCGGTGAAGTGGGCAGTCGTTGATGAAAGTCTGCTGTGACTTGTTACAAATCCTTATTGTGACGCACAGGACGAGTTTCTGACCCGTATAGAAGCACTGACCGGCTGACTGACTTCACATTTATGTTGAAAATCCGGATCTTGTTGTTTATGCTGAGTGAGAGCAGAAGATTTGCGTTCTTGTTTCAGGTTGACGAAGGTGTATCTCTCCTCTCTTATTCTGGCTAGCTTTTATATATTCATGCGTTCCACTAGCTTGTGGTTGAAACGGTTTTTCCTCGGCAACTGAAAGAAGTGACTGGCGTAAAATGTCTCCGTTTGGTGGTGACTTGTGACTCCTGTATTCACTTCGAGTGCCTCGCTGCGTTCCCCGTTGTGGACCACCTTACTCGTAGCATTGTCATGTAGTTGTTGGATAAGGTTGATAGAGACTTGGAAACTGCACGCCGTAGTGTTGAAACAGTTTCTAAATTACTTCTCAGGGAACACTGTCGAAGGCCTTTTCGAAGTCGATAAAGTTGAGGTAGGGTGAGGTTTGACTATGATTCTACGCGTTGTTCTGTGATGACGATGCATGGACTTGCAATTTGATCAACGCATGATTTGCCTTTCCTGTATTCAGTCAGCTTGTTCCGTGTGGTGGGCGGAGTTCTGTATCCAGTGCATCTTTTATCTCGTCCAGATGATGCGACTTAGTATTTTACTTGGTTTGGATAAGAGCATTATTTCACACCAGTTTTTGTAGAGGCCCAAGTCACCCCTCTCTGGCAGCTTGATGAGGTAGCCAGCTTTTCTCCCAATCGGTAGGCACTTTCCTTTCCTTCCGAAACTTTTGAAACAATGGCGCGAGAACATCTGTCACAGTCTCTGGATCCGTTTTCAGTGTTTTGAGTGGTGGTGGTGAGGGCGTGGAGAATTAAGTGTGGTCCTGCTACCTTCCTTACTGGACTTCAGGAGCTTGACCGAATTCGGGATTTCTGCTTCCGTTGGAGAATTGGTGACCACTGGGAGACAGTTGTGTGCGTTCTGTTGTTGGTGGTGTATTTCTGGAGGATTTGCGGGTAATGGTCAGTTCAAGATTCCTTTAAAGTGGTCAGCCCATTATTTTATTCGTCTCTCCTCTTTGGTAATCAGGTTCTCTTGAGCATCTTGTATTGGTTTGATTATCTGGGTTGATCTCCCTGTTCTGTTTTCGACGTAGAACTTTGGGCCGATGTGCGGCAATTCAAGTCGTCACACTCCCTCCTTGTAGCACACAAAGCAAGAGAAGAAGGTAGAACAAATGCCTAATAGAGACAGTAAACAGAGATGTGAGACAAAGGAATGGTAATAACGAAGAACTATGTAGTTTCATTGGAAATCATAGGTCACAAGGAGTGGATGCATCTGAGCCATTGAGAACGATTTTGAGCCATATCACCAATTGTTTCCAACCGTTGGTTTTACTGCCACTGGGTTGATCTCTTCCCGGTTAGAGACCTGGTTGGCTGATATAATGTCCTAAGGTCTCTTTTACGTGCAGCCTGCCTGTTCTGCTTCAGTTGCCGGCCAGTGTGTCGTAGAATTGTCTTCTGTCGTTCCTGGCACTCTTCTTCACGTCTTTCTTGATTCAGTGCAGTGTACATCGCCGTGGACTCAGCTTCTCCTTCTGTTGTCCATCTTTGCATTGAGTCGTCTTCTCTTTCGCCATCCTCCTCTCCTCGATTAGCTTCCAGGTAGGTGTCCGTTGAGAGCCATTTCTTGTCGTGTCTCTTCTTTTTTCCTAGAACATTTGTACACGTTTCCCTGAACACCACATTCAGAGAGATCCAATGTTCTTCCACATAGGTTTCCTCAGTGATATCACGTAGTGTATCCGACTTTGCTCTGATTTGTTGTGTGGTGAATGCATCCCTTGTGGTTTTGTCCTTCAGTTTCTGAATGGCGAACTTGAATTTTTGCCTGTCTCCTGTTGTTGTGGAGGATTTCAGCTTGACCCTTTAGGCTCTTTGAATCTGACAATGGTTAGAGCCCACATTCCTCCCCATCACGAATTTGTGTCCGTCAGACCGGGTGAGTCTTCAGTTACTTGACTTTTTCGGTGTGTTTCTCGGGAGAAATCCATGTTGTTTTGTGTACACGCTGTCTCCGATCACCAGAATATTGAAAGTGCATAAGTCTGCGAAGACTTCTCTGTTCTAATTCATTTCTGCTAGCGACAGCCTTCCGATGCATGATGAGTTCTCTGCCTGCATTTTTCTCTCCTTAGTGTACCATTCACATTACCTAGGGGAATTTTAATATCGCCAGTCGGGAAGTTGTCCATTACTGTTTGTAATTGTCTATAGAAATCTTCCTTCTTTTCTTGTTCCGCGTTTTTTGTAGTACTGTGCGTAGCATTGGATAACTGTTAACCTCCTTCCTTTTGAGTTGAATCTTGCCATCATAATCCTGCAGGATGGTTCCCATATTGTTTCCAATTGCACCAGGACTTTGGCTGCCACTGGTGACATCATGATAGCTACTCGGCGACTCCGTGTGCTCGTGTTTGTCGTCTTGTTAACCAGACAGAGTAGATTAGTGACCCACCAGCTCACAATTTTGTTACCTACATCCATTCTATCTGTTCTCTAAGATTCCCAACACGATTATGCCATATCTTTGCATCCCGTCGGCTGCCTGGGCAGCCTTCTTAGTCTCGTACATTGTATGGACATTTCACATACCCATTTTTTCTCTTGTCTTGCCGGCTGACTGGCTTTCCAAAGGTGGGCTTTCACGTGAGCACTGTATCATTTCACTTTGAGGGACAGTTCACTTGGCCCACAAGTGCACTGCCTATATCAACCATCCAAGCTGAGACCATACTGAACGTCAATATCCATCCTTTAAACATAGAAGATTTGTAAATAAAACTTCCTATCTGAATGAACACCCAGTAGTTTCTTCGCATAAGTCTTTAGTTGTAGTACTGATGAAAGAAATGGAATACCGTTATTTTGTCAATTTGTGTGGTCTTAATAATATTTTGTAAGTTTGTATAAGAATTTATATTATTTGAAGTTTAAAGAGTGAAAGCTTTTAGCACCATCGAGGCATTACCATGTAACTCTCATCGATATGTTTTAAACTTTGGCTTGTTTAGATACAATAATTAAATGACTATGTCATTTTGGCTGACCTCATAACAAACACAGACAATTCAGTTTTCTGAACTAAACAGACATGTAGTTTAAATTAAAGCCTGTGTCATGTTTACGAAAACTTTTAGTGAAGTAATGACGAAAAAATATATCCAGATACAATTAATAACGAGTTGTGTGTTTACCGAAATAATATTGAGTTTTAGAGTTCTCATTACAGTATTCTTGGCAAAATTTGAGAGATACCTTGCAATTATGAGGAGCCTGATGTTCTAAGTAATTGATTTGTAAACTTAAATTATCATAACAGAAAAGGGGATCATAAGAAAAGGCACAAACAGCGAAGAAAATTTTCTTTTCGACGATTCATTTTCATGAGCTGCACAATCGTAATTATAATTAAACACATAAGTTTTTGACCAATCAGATACTGGTAAACTTTGTCCTTGAAAATTCTACTACATAGTGTGAGGTGTAAGAAGGGATGACTAATTGTAAGTTAGAAAGGAGACAGAAGTTGGCATGACCTAATAAGTGTGAGATAATGACTAATCAATAAGCTAGTGTAGAGTGGACAGGAACTAGTGGAAAGGTTATACAGTAGTTTTGTATAAGATCTGTGTGAAAAAGCAATGTTATTAATAAACAGTCATAGTGCCAAATATCACAACGGTTCCTAAGAAGACTCTCTTCATGAACCTATCATTCAAAGGTGACATCGCAGCGGAAATTCTCAGAAACCGCCTTTCAAAAAGTCTGAAGAAGACGTTCCCAACAGACACTCTACGTATAACATTCTCCTGCAGACAGTTAATCCAGTCTAACGTTAAGGACAAGATACCGTCTTTGTCCACTTCAATGTGTATTTATCAATTCACTTGCTCGTGTGGAGCAAAGTATATCGGCCGTACGCAACGTCAAGTCCACAAACGTATCCTGGAACACTGCCCAGCTTGGTTAGCCAGAGGAGAAAAGAAGAATAGCAACAGCTCAATCCTCGAACACCTTGTTATCTCCGGACATCGAGCACCCCCACACGAATGCTTCCCATTGGTACACAAAGTCCCTCATTATCGTACAAAAGGACTCCGGATACGACATCTGTACATAGCTGAGGCATTAGCTATTCGTGATATAAAACCGGACCTATGCATACAAAAACGATACATACATTCTCTAGCCCTACCATGGCCAGAGTAAATTTCTTACTATAATTTTTCTCCTCTCTTTTAATATGTAAGTTCACTATTATTATTATTATTATTATTATTATTATTACTGTTCTTAATACTTTTATTATTATTACTATTCCCACCATCCACATTTTATTACTACTCTATGACTGTGCGTCGGTGGCACAGTGGTTAGGACTCTCGCCGACCATGCACATGGTCCGGGGTTCGAGCCCACGCCGGCGCACACCTGATATCTATGGTCGGCCTGCAAATTTTGGGCTACCGATATCCATGCTGAAAATTCCATACTTGTACCAAAAATACAGTGTGGAATCAAGCTGTAAATCAAAAATAAAAATAAAAAAAAAAAAATAAAAAATAACATTGCTTTTTCACACAGATCTTATACAAAACTACTGTATAACCTTTCCACTAGTTCCTGTCCACTCTACACTAGCTTATTGATTAGTCATTATCTCACACTTATTAGGTCATGCCAACTTCTGTCTCCTTTCTAACTTACAATTAGTCATCCCTTCTTACACCTCACACTATGTAGTAGAATTTTCAAGGACAAAGTTTACCAGTATCTGATTGGTCAAAAACTTATGTGTTTAATTATAATTACGATTGTGCAGCTCATGAAAATGAATCGTCGAAAAGAAAATTTTCTTCGCTGTTTGTGCCTTTTCTTATGACTTAATATGGGAATATTTCGTTCATAGAAAAGGGGATGTTGAAAAATAATAATGATAGATCTCTTTTGACGTAATCTATCAGTTTTTTCGAAAGTACCTCACAAGGCTTTTAAGATAGTGACAATGTATATATGTTCCGCTATTATGAGTAGAAATAAGTACCTGAATGCTCAGATGAATGCATATTTTCAGTGAATAAACAGACGAGATAGTACGTAAGTCAGGAAAGTAAAGTTATTCATTTGTTGTGAATATTTTATAAATGTGAGGCAACCAAATTATTTTACGACACTGAATGTTTTAATTGATGATGTACGTTTTGACAAATTCTCCGTTAATTGTCACTTGAGTGTATTAGTGCATTCAAGTTCCAAAGCACTAGAAATGATATTAGGTAGTAGAAAGGAGTAACTATTTCTGGTACTGACCATCGGTGGGGACCAGGGCAAGTATCACCTTACTAATGTATAATGGTGACATTAAAGGAAAGAGAAGTGCTATGATTTTGCTCCTTTCACAGCACATGTTAACCAAAGTCAGTGGTAAGTCGAAGGTAACAATTCAACCATTGAATGAGCAATTAGTGGTGAATTTGCTAAACCGACATTTGATAACTACAACTAAAATTATTAAATATGTCAGACAATGCTTATAAACAGCCAGTTTCAACATTTGCGTTTATAACTAGTCTATTGAATTACCCAGCAGGTTACTTATTGATTCAGAACCTAATATATTACTTAGAGAGTGTACATTCTATGACAGTTTCTTCTATAAGCATCAGAAACTATGAAAAGGAAGTGTTTTTTTTTATTAGTTTTGTTAACAAGCAAAGGATATTTCAGAAGTTTCATCTCAGCATCGTCACACTTAGCTAGGTAACTTTAGTGTTTCACAGTGTTGGGCTTTTTTTATTGTATAACCCAAACTCATAAGGAACATAACTTGATATTTCATTAGACTGAATAAGATTTAAAGATTTTCCCATCATCAACATTAAATAGATAAAAACACTGGTTACCCGGTTAGAAGCTCATCAAAATCTTCTTTTGTAAGCATATTTATCTCAGCCTGATCAAAGTACTTATAATTCTGGAAAATAAATAAAATAAAATCTGTAATTCACATTCAGACTACAATTTTATGTGAAAACACTACACTACCAAACTCGTTTTTCCTAAGCATCAGAATGTCTCATCATATCTTAACGTACAGTCTCTTCACTTCGACTGGCATTCTGGAAAAATCTTACTTTAATGGATTGGACACGCGCTGAGGAGACCACTGGGTGACATTGCGCGTCAAGCCCTCGAGTGGAACCCGGAAGGGAAGCGGCGGGTGGGACGTCCAAGAGTGACATGGAGGAGATCGTGTGAAGAGGAGTTGAAAGGGTATGGACTAACATGGGTGCAGGTGAAAAGTACACCAGAAGACATAAGAAAGTGGAGACGTGCATCTGAAGCCCTATGTTCCACTAGGAACCCAAGGAAGCAATAATAATAATAAATGTACGAAACTGGTTAACTGACGGTTCAGCGAAAATATAGTGTTTATCAATAAAGATTACTGCTTACTCTAACTGTTAATGCATATAAACAGCTTCATTACAAATAAGTTTTATTTGTTCAACTATATTTAGTCTGTGTTTACTATAAACTTTATTAGAATAAATCAAATAAACCGGTTTCAAGCGTTTACACAACAAACCAGAGTCACGCGTGCTTTCATAAATGTTTCAAAATTTTCTGAATATTGAATAAAGATACAAAAGCTGATCTACCACATTCCGCTAAATATTTATCGTTGTATTGGACTTTTCAGCAACAGATGACCAAACCAACATGAATTACCAGTGTGGTGAGAGCAGGCTGCTAGCCGATTGGTTGGCACTAATCTACGTTAAGGTCTAGGTCACTAATGTGGGCCGTGAGAAGATATGAACAAGGCTGAGTCAACAACCAATCACAGCAAAGTTAACGTGGCAAAATATGATTCGCAGATAGAGAACTCTATTTGTCAAGGAATCCCGAAACAACCAATCAGAAGCCTGCGTTTGTCTACCTAAACAACCAATCAGATGACTGCGCTTGTCTATAATAATGTAGTTGAAATATGTATAAATACGTGTTGATTTTCATAATAAAACGATCTGTTGCTTCGCCCTTGTCTTCTGTTGTTACACCAGCACTTTGAAATACTGAAACAACATTTTTGGATATTATCCCCTATGAAGAATTTTCTTTCAATCTGACAGTAAAGTCACAGTCAGTTTACAGAGGGTATTTTTTCAAGAAATAGTTACATTTGAATTGAATTTTTGATTTTCCCGTCGATTGATTGGACCGAAGTGCTCGGTCTCAGGTTGACATGTCGGCTTCTTGTGCAGATGCTTCGACGATGTCTGGGTATTTAATTAGTATACAATTGGTGGATGGTGGCTAGCAGTGGAATCCAAGAGGTGGCTCTCGTGGCCCAAGTGGTCTAGTGGATAACGCTTTGGCGTTTGAAACTATGGGTACTGGGTTCGAGCCTCGGTGGGAACATCATCACTCACTGAGAAATGCAGGTACATCCAGCTGACGAGTCCCAAATAGGATGAAATGCGCATCCTGGATTCCACTGCTAGCCACCATCCACCAATTGTATACTAAATAGTTACATTTATTGATAATTTTTATTCATTGAAGTTAAGGCTGTTTTCTTTTCAGGAATTCTGCATCGAAAGGTTAGCCATTTCATGTGAATGTAGAATGAATAAACTTTTTGCCTCAAACAACTTTGCGATCAGCATGAAATAAATGGTAAGTTACACCTATAAACACAAGGCAAGTTTAATTGCCTAATGGAATATTTTTAAATCTTTAGTATTATTGTGTTTATGTTGAGAAAAAGGAGATAACAGATGGATGAAATATTTCACTATCTTGCGTAGAACTGCAAAAGCCTTTATGTTTTCAAGTGGGTAGAAACAATCAAGATAAAGTAAATGTTCTTTGTTTTGAAAACAACTTAAATAACCCATTAAAAAGAATCACTGATACAGATTCACACTAGCTAAAATGGTGAATTATTCCCCTTACTACTTCATTTCATGTTTTCCTCATTTAGCATATGAACAGCATATCGAGACTGTTGCTCTGAATTCACAAAGCTCAAATATTTGAGACGTTATCAGGAGAATTGATTTAATTTATTTAGGTGAAATTGGAGACTGCCACAATGCAAACTCTTCATGAGTGATATTTGGTGATAGATGCAAACTCTGATGGTTCTAAAAACATGATATAATACAAACATTTTTGAAGACGGTCACACTCCTGTTACTTTATTTAACAGTCGTTTAAAAAGTTCAATAAAAGTATGTCCAAAAACTAGAAGATATAAAGCACTACTAAATTACACTGTTGAAATACATCAGAATGATTATTAACTAACTGAACTAACCTTGTCTATATGGTGTAACCGTTTTCTCAATACTTGTTCTACCAATCTAAGTAGTGTGGCTTCATCTCGTACCTCACCTTTATAACTGTCATCAGTTATTGGGCAATGAGATTTTGCACTGTAATGAAATAACAGGACATTTTTAAGAGCAGTAAAAATCAGCTAAGTTGATTAATAAGACTTTTTTAAAGAAAACAACCTTTAAACTGTTGACACGTGGTTTATCAGAGCTGTATAAAGAGAATTTTAGTTCTTAAACGTGCAAGAATCGAGTCATTAAAAAAAACAACTGAACTAGTAATTATCAGACAAAACCTTTAAACATCTGACGATTAGGCTACGAACGAGTTTGTTGGTATTTTTAGAACAAGCTGATTTCCTGTTGACTAAACAAAATTTGAGTCTTACTAATTACACACCAATAGAAACTTTACACAGTATGACAATACTGGCTTTTGTACGCTAAAGCTACACGACAATGCAAATAACACAATATATCAGATTTTTTTAGTATGATCTGATTTCGAAAATCTTCCTTCAACCATAGCATATTTTGTAACCACTTAAAGCTTTAAAATTACTTGGTCACATACTCGCTATTAGTCTTTTTCATCAGCTTAACAGAGGGATTATGCTAAAACCATCTCTATTTGTCTTTTGTAAATCAAGTAAACTAATATCTTTTTGTCCTTTACGTTCCCAGTGGAACATAGTGATTCAAGCTAGAGCTTTGAAATCTCCGCAGTGGTGTTTATTTTTCGCGGGATAGGGAGTGCTAGCCTCATGCCCAACCTCCTCTCTTTACTAGTCTTATTACTAGCTTAGCAACAAATAGTAAAGGAGTGCTTTTGCAGGAGATCGGACCCCAAACCACATGCGTGGTTGGCGAGCATTCTGCCGCTGAGCCACCGAATCACTAATGTCCCTTCAGTACCAGTTAAGGTCATTTAATTTAAGCACATCTCATCACTAATTCAAGACAGGTGATGGCGTAGTAGGTATTTTACACCCAGTAAAATCGTGACCAGAATATAGTCTTGTAATAGATAGACACTTGAGTTAATACAAGGTTGAAAATTCTGTAAGCTAAAGTTTTTGAAATAGAGACTAAGGCATCACCTTCAACATGTTACGAAACAATAAAGCAACACCTACTAGTCTAACTGGAAGCTGTCATACATTAAAAACATATTTCCTCTCACTTTCGAAGACTTAAAGCTAGCGTATCAAGAGTAGAATACATATACAATGTTCTTATTCATTAGAACTGAACAACTATAAATAAACTGCATCGTCTTTTGCTATTCCAATACAAGTCACGCTGATCACTTACGAAAATATTTTTTACTTCCTCGATTTCAGGAAAACAAGAATATCGACTACAATTTATAACTTCAGTCGTTCAACTTGAGCAAATAGGTTCCTAAATTTTATACAGAGGATCCCCCACCTCGTCTCCAATAAAAAGCTTCTTATTAAAATTTCTAAGAATTTATTTTAGATGTTCGGTTGTCCCACGTTTTGATTATATTGTCAGTTTATAAAACTCTTAAAAGAATCCTTTTTATCACCATAATTATCTCAGTTGAATGTACATAAGCTATTGCAGTGATGCCATAGATGGCTGAAGTCAACACGAAATTTGATTATAAATTGCCGGTTAATTTGATTGACATATTGAAATCAAAATTTCAGGTTAAAACGACCTATGTGCACAACTTTTTATCATCTCTTTAGAGTGTTACAATTATTTTGGTTATTAATAATCGTCCGTGGGGTTTTTAATGGAGTATAAGGCTTCAGCAGTCCCTAGCCATTTCAATCTGTCCTCTACAATCTTTTCTAACTGTTTCTCTGATATGGTATATGCCCTCCTTAAATGCCCAACTCATTTCTTTTCATTTGAGGCGAATGAAGGGGGGAGAGAATGTGACGTCACTTGAAAATCTTACCAGAAAACGTCTTATCCATCACACTTCCTTGTTCCAGCGGTATAATTAATGTTACATGTAATATCATTTTAAAATGTCCTTTGAAATTACTGATAACATTCTTAATGGGATTCATAATAACAATACTTGATGCCATTTCATTGAATTTAAACAAGCACAGTTCACAATCTTACGGTGTCTCAGAGTCCTGAAAAGAGACTCATGCACGTACTAGTAAGATAACTAAATAAATTTTCAAAAGTGACTTCGGTAAAAGATGATGCATATTACGGTGTGCATTAATTCTTTATATTGAATTTCTTCATTAGCACAATAAATTCTCGACTGCTCATGAAAAAAATAAACAATTTTCAGTATAAACTTACATATCAAAATCACTGTTTGCACGCTGTGCTGCTATATTGCTTCTGTAAAATTAGAGAATAAAACTGTATTGGTATAGATACCACAGATATTATAGACTATTTAGTCATAAAGTTCCGAGTAATGAAGAAAATTCACTTTGAAAGGAGAACTATCAAATAACTACCAGTTTCATTAGTTCTGCCTTAGTCTGAATTCACAATATGCTTACTTTGTATCTAGTTCCCTGGCTGATGCACCGAGCAACTTAAGTCAGGCTAACTGCATGGGTAAAGTTTCATTTCTAAAAGTTATGCATATATGTGCAATGATCGTACGTGATAACCATATATAGATACATAGTAACTTGATGCGTTTTTCATAAGATTTATATTTATTCCTCTAAGATGTCATTTTTAGAATTGACTGTCTATGCTTGTTTAATCATTTGTTGATTATCTGGAATTAAATACCAACTTATTCACTAAAGTGTATGGTAACTGTTGTAGTTGGTGCATGAAGATAATGTTACCTGGGTTTATTACCGAAATAACAAATTTAAAGAGAACTCACAAAATTCTTAATGACTGCTAATTTCGGAACAGTGTCTGTAGAGTAAATCAGTGATGGAATTAACTATATTGAATGAACAATAGCAATTTTTATATATCCTATTGTCATGTATAATATTTGACTGACAGAATTCAATCTGCAGCAAAAAAGTCTAGAAAAATGACACTTACTACCAAGTGTTAAATACAAAGAATCTAATACCGTTCTGGAAGTGGACAGTCGCGAGCCCAAGCAGTTCAGTAGTAGCGTCTCTGATTCAAGCACTGGGTAACATAGGTTCGGATCCCAACAGGGACACGAATTTCTTCGAGATTAAATAAACGTCTTACTAACGAGTGCCAACAAGCACGACACTCAGTTCCAAGGCTTCCCATCAATTGCATCCAACCATTCAACAGTTGTTATTTTGTCGGTTTACTTCTGTTGAGTTTTTCTATTTCTCGATTCATACATTATCACTGCACTTACCAGCTAACAAGAGATAAATTTCTTTAGTACCCACTCAATAATCTGTATAGATACATATATTATATGCTTGATTGAGACTACTTAAGCATCTGCCCATGGGGAGAATGAGTGGCAATATTTATTGGGATTTTTCGTCATAATCCTAAGAATAAGTTTCTAACTTATCAAGTTTAAACAAGTAAAACTTTATCACTATTCTTCACTTACATACCACCAAATAATACACAAATTTGCTTTGCATCCATAATTCCAGGTTTCAGAAAATGAAAATAATTCTTCATTTTCGTCCACTGTTCATTTGTTACTTGTTTATTAATTGTATGAGATATAATAGCGCGTAATGTATCTTCTTGAATCCCGCCATCACCATCAGTATAATTTCTAATATAAAGTTTTGTAAAACGAAACTAAATGCTTTAGAACTAGCAAAGATTTATTTTCAAAATCGTAATATTTTGGGCCATTTAAAAATATTTTTTAAACATATGATAAATACATAAAAGTGTATAAATGATTTACGCGTTTAAGTGCATTTCCTTTTTAAACGGTATCTGAAATTAAATTCAATAGTCATTTAGCAGCATAGACGTTTATTAATGAAATGTGGCCCTCAGTCCAGTGCTCAGAATGAGGAGTATTCTGAATAATAAACTAAATAAGGAAATCTATTTGTAGTTCTACAGGTAAAAAACAACTTGAAATCAGGAATCTGGTCTAGTTGCTTGACTCAAAAAGACTTATTTCGAATGCTCATCTAGCAAATTAAAATTTTGCCATTATACTGTTAAAAATAAGAAATATATTTTTTAAAGTTTGTAAAGCAGTCTTTTTATTTTATGGCTACAACTTCTTCCGATTATGGAAACATGAAGTCCGAACCATAAATTTCCTAGGCTTGTGTTTTATATGTGGTATGATGACTCTATGGCCTTTGACTGAAACAAAATCTGTCTAGGCATCCAAAGTTCTATAAATCTATATGGATGCCAGTAACAAGCGAGTATTCACTGCTTTCTAAGTTTTCATTAATATATATTTCGTTGTTTATTGTTTCCCTCCCTTTTATCTTCTTCTATGCATCCACATTCTTCATCTTTTACCGAATTTTCCATCATGTTTTAGGTAAACTGTACGTATTTAACTGTTTTCATGTTATTCGTTAATGTTTATATTTGCTACTAGTATGAGTTACAAGAATTCGTATTGCTACAGCTATTATTTTGACTTAACAGTTGGGGATGTGTTAACCAGTCAAATTCATTTTCGTTTTAAATCTCATAATCTTTATTGCCATTGTGGTTTCGTAAACTAAGAGTTAGCTATCGGTAGACAGTGATAAATTACCAATAAACACTTTAGGTGATTAAAGTTACCAGTTCCGGTTAATTTCTAACCTGCATCTCTATTACTAGAAATTGAAGGAAAGTTAGTGAGATTATAAGTTATTCCCCGAAACAGTGCTATTTCATTGTATATTTAATATTTTCGATCATTTAAAAAGCTACTGAGACGAACTGAATGTAGTAAATTGAATTAGTCCATACTGTCGAAAATATTTAAGTGTTCAATGACTTTTTTCAATCTTCTCAGTTAGTACAAAATACAAAAACAAAACATATTATACAGTATAGAGCTATCTCTTTCATTCTTAAACAAAAAATGCATACAAGCGTATGAGTGCTCTTACTCCCGACACTTTTTTTGTGTACATAAAGTACAGAAGGAAATATACTTTGGTCTGCAACCTATGCACATCTGACGATTATCGATTACGATGATGATGACTAAATTAACATCATTCTGAAATCATTTTTTACGAAATCATTTTACGAATTATTATTGCTAATCGAATAAAGCACTTAAATTTTTTGTCGAGCTCTTGAACTTATATAAACAAGGAAAAAAACCTACTGTTTTACTAAATAAATAAAACAACACCACCAGTGAAAGGCAATATGCGTTACTTGATTTTTCCCAAGAATTTAATGTAGGGCGCATGTAGTAACTTGACCATTCCCTCTTCAGCTTCTTTAGGCGTTGTTGTAGTTACCAGTTTAGCGCAGTCTTGTTCTGATGTTGGCCTTGAAAAAGTTTTTAAAAAATAGAACCAAGATGTTTCGGAATACACTGACATCTAAATCATTGAGATAGAAAAGTACTAATTATGTTTTATGGTGACACATTTCTGATAAACATTACGTATCTCTCGATTCATCTTTTATGTTAAACGAAACAATATCTCCGGTTAGATGGTTGGGGGCAATCGGCAGGAAGCCTTGGACCTGGGTTTCGTGCTAGTTGGCACTCATCAGCAAGGCGTATCTGCAACTTTCAAGGAACTCATGTCCCTTCTGAGATTCGAACCCGCGTCCCCCAGTGCTGCAGTCAGAGACGTTACCACTGAGGTATTCGAGCTCGCGATTGACCTCCTGTAGGACTGCCTCCAACCATCTAATATCATCAAACCAATGTGAACCATGATGGAGAGCTACCTAGAATGGTGGCCACATTACAGCCTGAATGATAGAATTCAGTCTGCACCAAAGAAAGGACTAGAAACGTCACACTAGTTACTAGTGTCCAATCAAAATATCTCCGGTTATCAATTATTCTGTAATGAACGACTGTAAAGATACAGTTTTGAATGTACACGTTTAAAGTCCCACCACTGCCACTATTTTCAGGCATCTCACTTATCTGGAAGAACCATTATATTAACAGATTTTACAATGATTACTTCTACATCTTCCAAAATCTCTGAAATATAAGTTCAAGAAGTGTAAAAAGATGATTTGAAAAGGCGTAAATGAACCTTTCTGCTGGCTTCTGTACTTAAAATTACAAATATTTAAATCATTTTGTCTTTCGTTAAAAAATATATTAAAATAATTAACGTTATCATATTTGAGTTTTTCTTATACTGTTTTAACAGAGAAAACTTAACAGCTTATAATCGTCACGCACCGTGTATTGATATTCTCATTTGTCTATGTGTACAATAATTCAGAGGTGTGTAGAATTCATCTGGTTTGAAGGATGCTAACTAAGTGAAATGGAATTCTCTCACTTGATAAGTTTGAAGGATTTTTTATGCAATGAACTAGAATAAAGGGAATTGCAAGATGTACTACATTAGTGATACAGAGACAGCACTCAGAAGCTTACAGTGTGAATATGTTGTGGAGACATTGCTTGAGGCTTCAAAGAAAATTAAAACTCATAGTTATGATTTGTAAGCTAACCTCTGTACGTTCAGGTTGCTATTTAGGAGAATCCTGGGTTCAAACTACTGATCTGAGTATTTGGAGTGTCAGAGGATCGTTTTAATTAAATTTAAATATTATTTTGAAGGCGACATTCCATTTTTCACATACTTTTACTTTACTCACCTGGACATTATTCTTTCAATTATTTTATGAGCAACGCTCCCAGGTTTACAGTCCTGGTAATATGCCAAAAGCCTTTTGTATGGCACCAATCCAGGTCTTATATTTACTGGATCCGTGCCTGGAGGTTCTGTATGTGGTGGTCTGTCACCACCAAGCCCTCCATTAGGTCGACATATTTCTGATGGAGCTAATATTTTCTTCAAAAATGCCGACAAATCCTTCTTTTCAAACGGTAGTCCATATTCCCTCAAAACGCAGTAACATTCATTCTCCGAAACACGGTTGCTTCCATTTTTATCTAACTGCTCAAACGAAACCATCATCGCTTGGTACGGGAGTTCAAACTACGTAAATAAAAACATAAGGTGAACAAAATTAATATTACTGTGAGATGATATCTCTTTAAACTCGACAGACTGGCTGTTTCAGGTAAAAATAAATCCATAAGACACAGTAAACTACATAAGTGTTTCTCAGTGAATAGTTGAGACATGGTTTCTTATTTAGGTGAAAATTCTAGTTTTAAAAGTATTTGTTGCATATTTTATTGTCTCATATTACATAATTGCAGGGTATAGAGATTTCTATAGTTCGAAGCTTGGTAATGAGATACCACTAACCAATTTTAACAGCCCGCACAACCGCAGTAATATACATTTAAATAAATAAATCACTAACAATTTAAATGTTGCATAATGTTATAAAGACTGATATTGCTTCAGTTAACGCAATTACACGTTGGTTGAGCCTCAGGTAACTTCGCCTCTGGTGTATGCATTCCTTAATGCATTAATTTACGATTAAATACGAACAGCGATGCAGAGATATATTCAAGTAATATGAATAAACGTATTACAGCTCTTTTGATTTGATAATTCGCTAAACGATAAAATATATAATAGCATAAACGAAAAAGTAATAATAATATTTTTAAAGACAACTGAATGATTATAAAGACGGTGGCAACGAGAGAAATTTTCTTTTCGACGTAGTCATCAACTAGGTTGTACAATAGTGTATGTATATTACAAGTATGAGAAAGTTGTAAAAATATTTCCGGTCAGAGGTCAAATTAATTACTAAAATCACTAAGTGTAATAAAAAGAAGACAGGTAGTGGCACTTATCTAGAAATATTTCAGGCCAAAGGTAAAATTGAGAATTACAATGTGTAATAATCAGGAAGATCAGGTAGAAAAGACAAAATAGGATTATATTTACTGGAAAACTAGTCAGTTTGCATAATTACGGGTTACGAATGTGCTATTAACGAAATGGGTAGGAGGTCAGGACATATAGAAATAAAAATGGTAACTAAATGTAATAGTGCAGATAGGGATTTAAAAGGTAAATATAACAAATAAACGGAAGGTTGGACAAGAAAGGTAATAGGGTAATCATTATTGGCGGGACTGAATTTTCTTGATGGCCACGGTAGAGACAACGGTTGGACGTATTTCTTTTGGACACATACAATAGGCTTGAGTTTTTGGATCGCCATTGCCTCATCTATTCCCAATGTTTTCATTTTACTCCCTTTGGTAGGTTGGATGAGATCTTATATATAGCTTTGAAGGACTTTTCATATGGGACTGGTTGTCCAGAATTTACCAGATATTCTGTGTATCGAACATTGCATTCACCCTTTGCTAACCATGCTGGATAGTCTTCACGCGCGCGTTTTACGGGCAGTCGTATGGTACAGCCAATTTACTCAGCTCCATACGGGCAAGTGAACTTGTGTATGCATGTTAAAGTGGCCCAATGCGACAGCTTGTGTTCCACGTGTTGGGTGAGTGGTTGCTTGCAGGAGGATGTTATTTGTAGTCTGGTGAACACGACCACAGTTGAATGACAGCGTTTTTATAACTTAAAATTTAAGAGTCGTGTTCAGTCACTGTTGAATATTGCATGCATATTACCAAATTTTCGATTACGCACTTTTAGGCTATTCATAAACATTGGTAATTAGAGGACGAAAAAAAATTAGCATAAAATATGACATCAGATATACTAATTAGTTGACTGACAGTCTTTGATATGGGTTGTGATATTTGTTAATATCTGAAAAGTTGACAGATTTTAAAATTGGAAAGCAGAATACGTATCACTCGATGTCAAGATAAGACGTCTTTACCACTAAGCTGCTTTACCAAAGATCGAAGTGCGCATTCGCTAAATTTTCGAATAAGCATAAAACACAGGCCAGCTGGTAATGCATACCACAAGTTTTATTATTGACTAACTCTTATTGTTCGGGTGTGTATATTTTTGATGACCGAACATGATGCCGGATTTGTGAGTGGAGAAAAAAATCAGGTTTGTCATCAAACCTTTACCTGAAAATACCGTCTCCGCTATATCATTCTATTCTGTTTGCTGCTGGCGTAAGATTTCCTAAAGCCACTGCGTAGACCACCAGAAGGATATACGTGTACCATACTTGTCACAAATATGAGACTATAAAAGATATATATGTCAACAGCTTGTGAAAGCAACAAAGATGCTGTTGACTATTTTGAAGAAATTAAAATTTACCTTGTATTTTAATGAATCAATAACGTTATCAAAGTAAATAGGCTGCGCTTCAAGTGACTGAAGATTGTTTAGATGTCGGTCACCACAACCATATATTGGATCATGTGTACCACCTGGTCCTTTGGCCTCCCATGTTGGCACAAAATTCGTTGGAAAAGATATTCCTCCACTTTTGGGATCTTTCGTGATGAGTGGTAAATCACTTTCCTGATGACCAATATTGTTTCTGTCTAGTATTTTAAAGCGTGGACATTCATTTGTTGGCTTCAAGACAAAAAAAATATTTATGACAAAAAATGAAAGCTAATTACTGATTTGGAGTGGCTGTGTGATTAGATCTATACATCAACATTAAAGCTGATAAAATTTTATTTTAGTGGGTAACTGCATCCTATTGATAGATTAACTAGTGATATATCATTTAAATTCCTATACACTGTCTAATGTTACACACTTTGTAATCATTCAACACAAACAAAAATAAAGAATAATAAATTAGAATAATAGAGATTAATGAATATTCACTCTACTCTCACTTTTCAGGCAGTAACTATTATCTAACACAGTGCAAGTCTTTGGTGTTTCACTACACAAATTTGTTGGCAGTATCTAAACTTAAATAAGTTCTTAACATCTGTTTCTTACTAATAAAAGCTTTTTAGGGAAAAAGCGTTGTGAAGAAACTACAAAATGTTTTAATATGATAATAATTCAAGAAACAATAATAACAGTGAGAATTTGAATTTTAATCCTTTTTTCTTAACTGTTCAGGAGGAGGCAATGGTCATGAATAATCCTGAAGAGTATATGCCGAAAGATTTGGAATGAATGCGAGTCAATTCAAGATACACTTGGCAGGTGTTAGTTTTGAACAACTTCTACATTTATACGCAAATCTTTTAAAAATCTCTCGCTAGACCTATTTTTATTCCATAATCACTGGTTTGAAGTAATAAATAAAGCTAAGCTCAAATATCTACACATCCGAATAATTTCATATGTATAATTTGGACTTTAAATCAGTTCTATTCTCAAACAAACTGGACCAAATTTTCGACGTGGAAATTTGCTCAAAAAGCGGCTCTTCAAGCTATAACACTTCATAAAAGCACACAAAGATGTAGGAAAGCAGATTGTAATTAAAAAACAATAGACGAAAATGTATAAGATAAACAATCACTTCCTGAATAATAATAATAACATGGTCTTAATAATTCTGACCAATAGAAAGCAGTGAATTCATTTACATAATTACGGACGATTTTGAGCTACATTACCACCAGCCTCAGGTCACTGATTTTTAGTATCTCGATGACACCAGCCAAGTAGTATTCACTTCGCTACATGGTTCAAAAAAACAGTCAACAAATTCATAGATTGATATCGAGTATGCATTTTACCACCCCTAACTATTTTCTGTGCTAATCCCATACCAGCTAACATTGGATATCGACGATGTCGATGACTCAGCATATACACCACATGTCCTAGTCACCCAATTCGACGGAGGATCAAGTCATTTTGGATTTATTTTCATCCTCTCTCTAATACTCTATGCCTTGCTTCATTATTAATTTCTGCATCATTCTGCCTAACGTTAGAAGGTGAACTGAAGATCATATGGCTAAGAAGTAAGAATGGCATAAATTTTTCTTCTAGAGGACACATAGATAAGGAACAAACTAGATGGACGATAAGCTGTTGCGAACTTGACAATACAGTTGTTGGAATTTGAAATCTCCACGCACATAACAACTAACTTTCGGACTCAAACAAGATATTAATGAAAAGTTAGATTCTTAGCCTTTCAGACTAATTTATACATCTGTGGAATTAATATTTAGATTGTATGGAGGATTTAATCATGAGCTGACATCACCAACACTTGAAAAATAATATTTAGATCTAATGTTAGGATTCTGTCACTTCTCGTATTATTAGGCTATTGACTAACTGTTTTAATACTTAAGTATTTGCTCAAATGTGGAGTGATCTTTTTTATTCAACATCACTTCTCATACATTAAAACGAGAAAGCTTGGAAGCGAAGTTTTTCAGATAACTATGAATCAGGATGCGGCAATTCTATAAATAAACCACAAGAAGAGTTGGGCAAATTAAAAGCCTAATATCTAACCTCACTGAGAGGTAGCAATGTGAAATCATGATGTTTTAACTGAAAAGACTAAATCAAAAGTGAATGTTGGTCGTTTGATCTTACTTACTCAGAGAACTTCTTAAAAATAGATATAAGAAAGATCATAAAATGAGTCAGAATATCTAGTAATGCACTCATCGTATGACAAGAATTTCTTTGCATATATTAATGACTTCAACATTTTTAGAAGTCAGGTATTATGAATCTAACGCAAATTCTGTCCTGTTTAGGATCATCTGAAATACCTAATAAAACCATTACACAGTAAAGTTAATTTTAGTTACATGGTAATTATTTTAACTATCCGATGACTTTGTTTAATCTTCAGTGTTCCGATTTTACGCAACATTTAAGTGGCCGATGTCTGGAAATCTTATTTTCAGAAAATACGAGATAACTGAATTGCTAATCGTCTAAAAGATTATTTAGTAGTTTCTTGACGATTCTCAGACTGGCAAACTTATATAAAATAAGAAGTATCAAATTGTTAGAAACTTAGTCTAAAGAGTAAGGTAGAATGATGCAGATATGGGACTCTTCATGGCAGAGAAAGAAAGTAATTCAAAAGTCCAGTAGGACACTTTTTCGCTAGATATCTCTAGTGGTCGTGAACAGACCAATTACTGAGATAACATCTCGGATCACCATATATACAATATATTTTAATTCACCAAATTGTATTTACCGTGATAACTGTACTCACTTTTCATTATATCTAGACTAAATAAGTGGGATCATTTTGAAATAAAATATCATTCATTACTGTAACTATCTGCCATTGCGACAACAAGAAGATATAACAGTGAAGGTAGTTTTCTGAAAAAAACGTATTTAAAAATAAGTACCGGTGGTATATTCCAGAAAATAGAATTGGAGAGATGTTCAGGTGTTCGAGAGTAAATTAGCTAAATAATGCAAACAATCTGCTGCACCTAAGGAGAAACCTAAGAGAAGCTTTGGCACTTATAATCACCCAGGTAAATTTTTCAGGAAGTAAATAGACAATTACAAGGATAGATATAAAATGACTAAGAAGAGCGGCATAAACGAGAGGCATACACAAGAAGGTGACGACACCAAGAATATGGAGTTTTATACATCAACAGTGCTGCCAAATAAAGAGAGAACTTCCGAAACTAAAGGTAGAATTCTTACAAGTCGGGAATAAAAGTGGAATTCAAGCCACAAACTCACTAAGAAACAGATTACGTTGATTAAAGGATCCTGTGGAGCCTATTGAACAGTTTATCTAATACTTTACAATGGTTTTGAGTTCAGATTAGTAAGTCAGTGTTAGTTAGATCAGTAGAGCACAGATACTAGGGGAAACCTTCACTAGTAAACTCAAATACGTTGAGAATCCCAGGAAAATGCTCTGCTACAACACTAAATGCACTCACGCAACTGTACAATGGAAGCGGAATAGGTGATAGCCTCCAAATCTATTATGACACAGTGGAGGAACAGACTGAAAACTGAAACTTTATTTATCGAATCGATTGAGAAAATGTGCAATATAAACTATTTACTGCCTGTCCTGGACATCTGGAAGCTTCTACTAGCCTTACAACAAATGGAAAGGAAGCACCCTTATTATGAAAACAGAGTTTTGAATTTGTGTAGTTACAATTCATGCAATTACGAAAAATATATTCTGCTGAGCGTATCATCCGGTAATTTACACTATTTTACAGTGTGATATATTCAATAAACAAACCGATGTGCAATTACGTACTACTATAGTGTCCAAGCTTTGTGAACACGAGTGTTTAATTTACTTTGGTGAAAAAACGGACATTTTGGAAAGTGGAAACGAAGTTCAGTGTTACATGATGAATTTTAAAATGACTAAATCTGCGTGAGTATACAAAAACAGATAGGTATGGGGCACGCTAAATCTGTGTAAGAGAGGAAAGAAGGAGAAACTAATATATGAATCGACTAAATGTAGGCAAAATTAAAACAGAAATATCATTTCAGCCACGAGAACGCAAATAAGAGTGAGCACTGTTTTCGAACACCAAGATTAGGTCCAAAGTCTCGAATCGCCAATGATTTGGTTGTATAAATGACTTATTCGATATCCTCCCTAGATTACTCTGCAGCAGTCACCTGTAGCTTCATGAAATCATGAACTGACAAAGTGCTTCAGAGTAGGATCGTTGACATTCTCTCTCTTTTCTCTGGATAACCAAATAGCACAATATTTAAAAATGAGATGACTGACTTAATTTATGAATGGCTAGCGAACTCTTTTTACCACCTGTGAATAAAAGTTAGGGTGATGACGACAACTATCTTATATTTAATGTATGCGAGGTTAATTAACAACAGGAAAATGTAATTCTCAGGGCACTAACACAGAATAGAGATAGTGATTTTAAGAATCTAATGTATGTATAATGTCATTGATGAAATGAATGTTCATGAAGAAACCCTACAGTGACTGTAGCTTTCCGTCCATGCATGATGAATAAATCTCGGAGGATATCCAATTCCCAATAAAGGGTAATCAGAGACTTCAGTTCTCTATCTAACCTCTCTTTAGAACAGATTTTCCTAATCCATGACAATGGTTTTATTTTTTGGTTGGCGAGACTTAGCTTATGAAGTTAATAAACTATCAGATTCACGTTATTTCTTTCTATACTGATCTGTAAGTAAATTTTTGTGGCGTCCGAGTAAGTACCCCATACAAGGAAGAAAAACTTAGCTGTGAGTTAGTTTCGTAAAAGAGTGATGTGCGTTGGAACTATTGAGCAAACTGTCTTAGTCAAATTCAGCATTACAAATATAGGTATCAGCTACACATTTTTGAAAAGGTGAAGTTAGTCATCAAGCACAGAGTTGAAAGCGTTGTTTTCAAAATCAATGGTCGAAAAATCTCATCGTGCGTTACATTATCTTTGAAATGCCTAGTATGGTCATTTTCCGCTAATTCTGTTGCAGTTCGAAACAGAGTTAGAGAATGGACTTTGATAAACAATGCTGGGCAGCAAATCAGAAAACCTCCATTTGCTTTCCTTTGTTCGAACTGTTAATAAATTATTTGAAGTTTAACCTGGATATTACTATCAACTGAAATAAACATCCAAAGTTATTGCTTTAAAAATACACTGAGAAGTTATATAAACTCTGCATTACACAGGGTACCTAAACCTCGGAACAATCAAGTCTACTGAGTTGAATGAATATGAATAGTGAACAGAACAGCTGCCTAGAACTTTTCTAGAAAGCTTTCAAGTAAATTTAGGGCTCAAGAGTAGTGTTGCATGGGAAATATTGAAGGCGTATTTTTGAAGAAACTCTCCCTCTTCATATGATTAAGTTGTAGAAATAAGTCTATAACTATTTAATATTTTTTCCACATTTAAGTATTCGTTTCCCAGAATAATTTTCGTATGATATTCATGGGTATTTCATTTACCAAACTTCTGAAATGAAAAAATATCCTGTGGTAGTGGGATTAGGCTCAGAATGTTAGGTAAAGAGAGAAATTCAGGTCGTGAGATCGCAAATCTGAATCATCTTAGGTGTTCTGTATTATGAACCACCACCTTCATTAAACAGCGATGTTAGATGAGCTACTACGAGCAGTGGTCAGACGAAGACTTTAACTCTAAATGAAGTGATTATTGCTCACATTGGTGCTCAATTGTTCACCCTTTGTTACAATTCGGATTCTGAAATTTCCCAGCAATCCTAATGTTAACATCCTGTCTCTCAGATGTCTATTTTACTCTTATTATATTTCTCGCCGTACATTTCGCATGTACATTTCTGAAGTGTGGTAAAGTAAACTGATGCACTTTTGAAAAGAAATGTGAGCTGATAATTTAGTTAATATCTGAATGACCTTAACTGGATAAGCGACGCTTCCTTAAGCAGTTACCTAAGATATCTCAGTGATTGAGACATTTGTAAACTTAATATACACGGAAACAGAAGTACTGTCTTCACCTAGAAGGGTTTCTTTGTTTTAAATTCTAGAATTTTCTTAGAAATATTCCCTTATATTTCTAATCCGTAAACCCAGATAAATTTCATTGATATATAAAACTTGTGCACTGTGGTAGAGTGTAATTCCATTATGGGTGAATTTTGTTTTGATAAAGTCTCACAGTGTTATACAGTAATGTTTAATGATGACGTTTCGAGCACAATTTATTTCTCATAATCATATCAAGGTACTCACACAACTTTCTAACTTCGTTTATATAATTCCATTATTTTTCACAGTTTGATTTGATTGGTAGTAGTATTTTCTATGTTTCCGGTATGAGTGATGAGTCTTTCCTATTGCATGTGGTTGGTGTAGACTCGATGAACAAGGATTCAGTCATCAAGCTCTCTCTCCATCTATCTAGATTACTTTTTAGAATTTAAACCCTCTCCAGCCCTATTGTGTGGTTGTGTCTTAATGAGTGCATTGCAATGTAGTGCTGAGCTTTTTTCTAAATTACTTATCTTCTCGGGGTCAACCATTCTTATCGTAGGTAAATTCTTATGTTCTGACACTCTGACTACCCCTGACCTACTAGTTTGACTTATGTAGTTGACCTCACAGTTATTGCAGGGTATTTTGTAAATTGTATTATTTTGTCCAATTGGTTCAACAAGGTCTTTTAATCTATAGAGCTTATCCCTGAGTGAGTTTGTAGGCTTAAATGCCACCCTAATTCTTGCTTCATTTAGAATCCTACGTAGGGCCTCGTATGTCCCCTCTTTATATGGTATAACAGTAGACGACTTATATTCTCTCTTATGTATGTTATCATTACTAGTTTCACAATTATTTTTCTTTTTTTGGCCTTTTTCAATCTTCCTAATGAAGTTTAAAGGATAGTTATTTAACACCAATACCTCTTCTTTCTGTTTTATTTCATCATTTAGGTCTTTTTGTGCTATTTAGTGCTACTGCTTGGTTTGTTAGAGACTTCGCTAAGCCTGCCGTAACAGTTAACGGATGAGACGAATTAAAGTCTAAATATCTTTATAAATATAGATATCTATATAAATATAAATATATAAATATCTCTATTAATATCAGATAAATTTCACCACTAGTGAAATCTAGCAGTATTACATTATGTTTTTGACCTTTGGTTTTGTAGAACATAATGATGTTCATGAAACTGAGCACTATGCACAACTTGTTTAACATCTACAGTGTAAAATACGAAAGATAGTGTTCTGCCTTAAATAGAATAACAAAGTGATGCTGTAATTTATCCTGCAATTTAAACGGAATTTATGGTGAAAATCTCAAAAATTTTAATCACATCAGCAATAAAAAGCCATACCACTAGTTTAGGTACACGTGGACGTTTCACAAGCACGGGAATTTCAGCTGCCTCAAAAGGTGTTAATTTTGTCTTTGTTTTTGAAGGTAATCCATCCTCATTTAAACTCATAATCCGAAGAAGTTGCCTGGTTGATATTGAACCAACTTTCTCTAAATCAAGCTTACTAAAAATATAAAGTAAAACTTGAAATGAACAAAACTAGACTTCATAGCAGATATACCAAAGTAGCTGGTAATATGTAGCATTTAAACGCTTAGATATCCGTTTGCAGTATTCACAAGATAATATGGTCATTTCAAGAGACAAAGTATACTTAGTAAAATCTGTAAAAGACACTGTCCACATTAGTCGCATTCATTAACAGGATTTTATCGCATGAAAATACAGGACTGTTGTTATAGTAATTGTTATAGTTAATATTTCGTAACAATTTTACGAACACTTTTTAATCACATATGGCGCAATAATCCATTTATAAAAAAGCTGGTACTAAATTATTTATTTTTGATTTACAGTTTATTCCACACTGTATTTTTGGTACAAGTGTGGAATTTTCAGCATGGATATCGGTTGCCCAAATTTCGCAGGTCGACCATAGATATCGGGTGTGCGTCGGCAGCGGATCGAACCTCGAACCATGTGCATGGTCGGCGAGAGTCCTAACCACTGTGCCACCGACGAACGGATCGGTATCAGTTAGAGAACCACTGAAAACCAGGGAGTACTGCAGATGATTCCCGAACTAAGATGAAACGGCTGTCCAGTACTCCTTGGTTTTCAATGGTTCTCTAACTGATATCAATTCGTAGTCAAACTCGTATTAACAAGTCTAATCCTAACAAACCAAACTCTTGAAAACCAAATAATTTTTAAATAAGCTTAATACTTCTGTTGATGCGTGTTCATGTAAGTCTATTAAACACTGAGTGGTTCTATGATTATTATTTAGAAGAGTATAAGATCAACCAATAGCTTAGCAAAACAAACTATATTTTCATTACTATAGTAACTTAGTTATCCTAACTGTATTGTAATCCAATTTAAATGACTCCGACTTTCAGCAGTAAGTCCTCTATTTTATCCTCAAGCCCTTAGTTACCTTGACAAATGTCTACGCATATTATTTAAAACACTACTCAACACCTGGTTACTAGATAAGTGAAAACTATAATAAGTTGAGGTTAGTTCACCTTCATACTAATCGGTACACAAATTAAATCTGTTAAAAAGACAGTTTATTGTAGAGATGGCAGCTAAGTTTTAAGAGGAATATGATTTACATTATAAATACAATGACGGATTATTTCACAGAAAAGCAATGTAGGTGGCATAGTTGTTGGTTGGTCATGTTCTATTTTCATTCACGAGGGTAATCTCGAGAAACAAGACCTATCACGGAATAAAGAAATACAAAGCCTGTGTGTCATATCTTAGTTATGCTAAATACTAACTTACTTAAGTGAAATTCAAGTTCAGTTTTAGACCTATTAAAGGTTAAAAACAAAACTGTAGTCGATCCGCACTGTTATGCGTAGTGTTATATCGAATCACTCAGACGAATGATACTGAGTTTGATTCTGTTCCCTAAACATGAAGCCACAATGTCATTTGGAAAATAGCTCACGCTTTTGTGTGTCGTAACCCTAAATGCTGTGTTTACGCATTTAATAGCTTAGATTTCACACGTTCCGCATACATTCAAGAAATAAACCAAAAGCAAATCAAAATTATGATAATGACATAACTAAACATTGCTTACTCTTGCCAAAGACGGCGAAAGTTCTCTGGAGTCAGGTGAATATGCATTTGCCTGAGTGCCTCTTGCATTTGTGAACACAAAATACGCCCTCCTTTGACAAAACAGCTCGGGGGTAGTATGGCTTTTAAGTCGAATTCTTCATCACATGCTATTTCTTGAAGCATTCTATAAGCTTGAGCAACCGATACACATTTTTCAGAACCAACAGTTGTATACTCATGAGGTATAAAATGTTCATCAGAAGGTTTAGACGTAAAAGCATCTTCGAATTCACGAAAGTTCACATTCGCTTTTCTGTCCAGGCCATACCTATACTTTAGAAAATTATGCGCTTAGAGCTATGCATAAATTGAAAAAATTCTGTCAAGGATGTATTTATAGGCACAATAATTTGCTGATGAAGAAAATTCTGTGTTATATATACTGAGTAGTAGTGTCAACTAATTTTGCCAATAATGTTCGCAATGTAATCTCCGGGAAAAGGTACCCAAAATCACAGGTAACATTTCGACTGAAGTTAGTTCGCCGGATACAGTCTGATGTCACCCATCAACAATTCACTTGATAATAGTCCGTAAGACATTTCTGTAACACTCAGGTATCTGCAGTGTTTTTGTAAATATCGAAATATGTTCTACAATGTTTAAACAGCAGAAACTACTTTCAAGGGCAAATAACGTCATTTTGGTGATCTTCTTACAAATTTGTAGGTTTAATAATGCACAATACAACAACTAAATAATACAGGATTTTAGTACCCTAATTATCAGGCAGTGAACGTTACGCAGGTTTAGTTGCAACTTAAACGGTTGAGGTGAAACCCTTTCGACCATAACAATATGTGCTGCAATTTCTGTGAGAATGCATCTAACCTTCGTTACATATACAGCTTGTTGACACTAGCAATCAATGTAGAACCTAGGTCCGTAGCTCCTCGATACTTAGCTGTTATCTAATTTCTGCACGCATAAAAGTTGTTTTGCAGAAAAAAAAGTAGGCTACAAAGCCTGTAAGAAACTGATGAAATAAAGTGGTCCGTTTTAGATACTCTGGGTATTAATATTTAGCAATAATAACCGACAGTAACAACCACTTTTCAAAGCGTATCTGTATGTAGCCAAACTAAATTTGAAAGCAATTTCAGATTAAAGAATTCACAATTAATGGGATACCGAGAAATACTGAAGAACTTGAAAGTAGTATTCAGACATATGGTTTGTGATATAGTCATTATAACCATAAAGTACTTTTGCACGTAAATGTGGCAAAAGAAGTAAAATTTCTTATTACTTTCTTGTCCCCATAATCCCTGAATTACTCCATTATAAAGCATGCAAATAGGATATAGCAAATAAACTATTTGCTTCCTTTTTTATTCGTTTTTTAGTTTTCCTGCACTTATTTTAGTGTTGAACCAACATAAATATTATCTATTTTGCTTCTAAAAAGTGTCAGATTAAGACTAACTTGTTTGTTTGTTACATCAAAGCAAACAACCTTCAATCCAGAGATGAAGACGTGAGATGAAGAGTTTGTCACCTAACCAAAATTATTGTTTGGATCCCCACAGTGCATAGACAACAAATATTGAATTCAAGAGACGTGTCCGAATCAGTTCATCATTGTTTAAGAAAAATCTTTAAGTTTGTGGATTCAGTTCCCTAGAAGTAAAGGCTCTGAAATTACGACGAAAGAGATTGTTATTTTTTAGCTGTCTTGAAGAAAATTATCTTTATTTCTTGCCGAAATCTCTTTTAAAGATGTGAAATTCCCTGAAATCTAGTATTCACGGGGGTTTGATAACATTTCAGAGACCAATGTGTTTCTGCAGTATAACCGTGACAAACTTATACGGTTCTGTATCTAGTCTGATTATTCAGCTGATGTGGGTGACACACAGATAACCAGTTCTTGCCTCATGTCCATTCTCCACATAGAAAACTGAGTTCATAGATAGATAATTTATCAATCATTTCATTACGATAATGACTAGTAATAAAGACAAGCAGAAATTTAAATAAGGAGTTAAAAAGTAAGACCAAAATGATGCCATTCTCCATCGAATTGGGTGGACGAATCCACGAAAGTTTTCTAGAGCTCAGGTTGAAATGATGTACTTTCAAAACAATCCCACATCGAACATGAATTCTATTAAATTCTATTAATTAATAAGACATGGTGAATTCTCTTTACTCTTATCAGCCAATAACCGTTTTCACCCGTGATGTAGCTGACACCAAATTTTACGAAACCTGATGATTACTCCGGCCAATAAAATTCTAATAAAGAGAGGGTGTGCAACATTAGTTCATCAAATATTGCTTTTCCCCAAAAATCTGCTTCTTTTAGTATGTTGGAGTCTTTGGAAAGGTTGGAAAGCAAACAACTAGTTATGACAAATCTTCATAATGCGTTTCAACAGAGAGGTGAATCTATAGTCCTTAAGGACTTCTTTAACCTTTTAAAAATTGAATTACGTTTGGAAAATATTACTTGAGTAGCTTGAAACTGCTACTGGTATTCACTGATGATGTAAAGATCTCCGTTCCAGAGTGATGTTGGAGAGGTTGGTACATCACTAACAAAATATTCCTATTTTATATGTAAAGTATCAATATCAAAAGCAATATTTTTACTTCGCTTTATCTTGTAAAATTAGTCTCTCTTTCTCTTATTTTGTACGGATATATCTAGATATTCTTCCCTTCCTAGGACTGACCATATTAAGTAACACACACATTATGACTAAACTTCTAAGAGACAAAGGTTTCAATCAAGTTGTGAACAAGGACTGAAACGAAAGAACAGTAATCTTTTTTATGAGGAATACATTAAAAAGGAAACAGGTATACAAACCTCCGGATTATTTTTTTTGATTTACAGCTTGATTCCACACTGTATTTTTGGTACAAGTATGGAATTTTCAGCATGGATATCGGTAGCCCAAATTTTGCAGGCCGACCATAGATATCAGGTGTGCGCCGGCGTGGGCTCGAACCCCGGACCATGTGCATGGTCGGCGAGAGTCCTAACCACTGTGCCACCGACGATGCTTTTAAATTTATTATTGCATAGAACTGAAAATCCTACACTTAACCCAGGCATTTGACGAGAATACAAAATAAAACACCCAATACTGTCTTGAAAAAGGTTTCAAGTAATAAATATTTTGACCTGAATTTTGTCAAGCGCATAAGGTTTAATAATTCAGTTAACTCAGCTTAAGAACACAATTTTCAGCGAAGAGACTCTTTTCAACGAATTTATTATCAAGCTGTACAATCGTATATATATGGTTTTATAAAGAAATTATATCCGGTGAGGGAATTAGGTCAAAGGTGTAAATACATGAAATAATAATAGTATGAAATAAATTTAAAATATTTGTGATTAGGTTCATAGTTTAAGTCAAGTGGAACAATAATTAATGTCATATATAAGATAATACATCAGGTGTATAGATTTTGGGGAGAGGCATATAATTGTAAGATTAATAGACGAATGTAAAATGTTACGTAATATGGTGTGAAATTTGATAACATAGAATTTAATATTGTAAAAATAAAGATAAAAAGTATACACATGAATAATTTTTGGTTTAAAATGTCAAGTAGATCAAGTGGAAAAGATTCAGAATGAGAGTCGTAATAATGATAATAATAATAATAATCGAAGTAATAAGGGAAAAGTACATAGAATAATAAAATAAATAAATGTCTATCCCTCTACGGCCAAGGCAGCAGTAGGGATTGTACATACTTCTTTTGTACACAAAGGTCTGGCTTAAAGTCATGAATTGCCAAGGCCTCAGCTGTCTTTAGAAGTCTGTAACGAAGAAAACGCGGGAAGTTGGCATGAATTCTATATATGACCTTGAAATCATGGTCAGGGTTGACCGAGTGACAGGAGTCGATGAGGTGTTCTAAGATAGAGCTTCGCACACATTTCCTTTCTCCCTTGTAAAACCAAGCTGGAATATGTTCTCGTATCCGTGTGGAGAGCATTCTCTGACTACGGCCAATGTACCTTGCTCCACAAGAGCAGGTGAACTGGTAGATGCACATGGAGGCGGTCAGACGGGGGAGCTTATCTTTTACAGAGGTAGAGAACAGTTTGCGGCTCGTGAACGTCATATGTAATCTAGCTGCAGGGAACGTTTTACTAACTGATTTAGAAAGACGATTTTTGAGCATATCAGAAGCTTGATCTCCTTTGAATTCCAAGTTCACGAATAGGGTTTTCTTTGGAACTGAGTCAGTGACCAGTTTAGACTGCTTATCTTTCATGTTGCTGTCAATAAATCGGTTAGGGTAACCGTTTTCTGCGAGTGTGGCTTTCAGGAAGTCAAGTTCTGAGTCGACGCAATCAGAACTACAAATTTTCCTTATCCTAAAGCAGAGTGAATGGATTAAATTCCTTTTCCTGGAAATAGGCACCCAACTGTAAAAATTAGTTAGTTGTCCGTTCCATGTACGTTTCCGGTGGATCGATCTCTTGAGAGATCCGTCATTCCGTCTGCTAAGGCACACATCAAGAAACGGAATACTTAGTTCCGATTCCTTTTCTATGGTGAATTGTAAAGAAGGATGGCAGTTGTTGAAGGCGAACAAGACATCATCAAGAACTACGTTCTTATCGCAGATGACGAAAGTGTCGTCTACGTATCTTTTATAAATGTCAAAATGCCCGATGGTTTGACTAAGTTGAGAATTTTCCAGCTTTGCCATAAAACAATCAGCTAACAAAGGACCCAGTGGTGATCCCATGGCAATGCCATCTCTCTGTCTATAGATCTCATTGTTGAAGGTGAACTGAACATTCAACGTGCATCTCAATAAAAGTTCTTTGAGGTGGATTGTCGGTAAACCTATTTCCAAACCATGTGTATCAATATACTCACATAAATAGCTAACAGTTTCCATGAGAGGAACATTGGTAAATAGCGACGTGACATCTAATGAGAACAGGACTCAGCTTAAACTAAGTGAACTATTGGTTTTCACTGAATAACTTGAATGTAAGCAACCTTTTAATAGTAAAATTAAACTCTTATTTCTTTTTGCTTCTTTTTTACAGTGGAGATTAATTTATATGGAAATATAATTCCTGAAAATTCGGAAAATGACTTGCCTTTCAAGAAGCCGATGATATAATTCGACAGTTACGTCTGGACATAGAGTGTATATCACCTTCATCAAAGCGGCTCTAGAATTGTTAAAAAAATTGTAGCCATTACTTTGAAAGACGGTTGTCACTTCTTGTTGCGAGGTTTTTGAAAAGTGTTTTAATTGCATGTCTTTTTCGAATAATCTCCACACGTATTGTGCGGTCGAGCTAAAAGGACTCGAAATTCACACTTTACTTTTAAACACAACAAACATTATTCAGCGAAAGACGATGTGTTTTTTCTGACTTAGGGCAACGATGATCAACAATAAACTCTGGGTCAGGTGATTCTAAAACAATATGTTCATCTTTCTTAATGGTAACAATCATACCAGGAAAATTAGTATATTGAAATTCATCATCTTCTTGGTTCCTAAAAGCCCTGAATTCACCATCATAATTCAATTGTTTGGTATATTTCTCAATCTGTTCTGTATCACTACTCGGAGACAGTGGGTAGTGAAGAGCAGTATCGCGCAAAATATCCGTGTTATAGGTGAAGTCATTCTTCCTGTAAACTCTGTTCTGAGGCTGTTTTCTAATAAATTCATTAGTGTTAAAGTAGTAAATAAACAAACTTGCAGCAGTGCTTATTCATATGAAACCGGGAAATTGATACTATCGCCAAAATATGTTTGTGAAAACGACGTTCAAAATTCACTGAGTGATAGGGTGTTCAATTTTTGTCTATTCCCGCTATCCATCAACCATTTATTGTACGTATCTAATCCTTCATTTTTTATTTAATTTTCTACTTAAAAGAGGTTGTTGTGTTTTCGGTAACATATCTGTAATTTGGCCTTGCTTCGCATTCGAAACTGACAGCCAGAATGTACTGCATTGTAAGGCCGGTGGGCTAAAACAGGGTTTTCGTTCGCTAGGATTCTGAAAAACAACTGGTTCTACTTGTTCATTCCCCTATGCATCAATCCTACATAGGCGCACATCCAGGTTTGTTGAGTTTATAATAGATATCCTATATAAGGTTGTCATCATTGGTATTAATTGAAAATCCTACATTCCTTAGGTTCGACAGTGCGAGAGAACACTTGAGATGGGAAGTGAAAAACAATCCCGATCATCTTCAATCATGGGCTTAATTCTCCATGCAAACAAATCTAACCTTCCATCATTAACCATCTCGTCACTTAAGTTGACACTGCACTATGTTATGCTCTTACTCAACAACCTTATTTAAATAAGATTTGCCAAATGAAAACATTTTCAAAATGTTGTAGGAAGTGTCGAACACTGAACATTTCAAATAGAGAAAACATCCGTTGCAGCAACAAGAATATTTAGCCAGATAACACTGAGAACGCAGGACATCGTCTCTTGCTACAAGCCAAGACAGAATACGCAAATAAGACAAGGATTTAAAAAACTAATAGGACGAAGCGATGCGAAAATTGATCTCGGTAAATGTTTTTCAATAAATAATTAGAACCAACCAGTTTCAAGATTTCTCAGTGATACAGGCACTTTTAGAAACTGATGTTATCCTCTGTGATACATTCAGGCCTACTTTTAATAAGAAATGATTTCCCATTTATATGGCTTATCTTCGAATAGTGTAATTAACTGACAAGCATCACGTAGGAAGGATCTGGTGGTTTTCTTGATATTTTTGGTTCAGCAATAAAGACATAGCATAAAAAGTAACTGCAGCATACATTACAGCGTAATGCCATTTCCATATCAAAGTAGAAGACACCAAAGTGGATGAACTCATCATGTATCAGGAGTCTCCCAGTAATCTGAATGCGAACGTAGACTACTCCGCGAACCTCTGCGCCTTCAGTGATTCCGTCGTATGAAGTTATATATACAGCCACAATGACATGCAGAGAGCACAAAACAGACGACAGAAATAGAAGATATGTTCAGGGTATATCACAGTGTTCGATGGAGTAGCAGTGCTGCGAAAGACTAAACATATTTGTATGAGACCGGATACTGAAATAGAAGAAGCTCTATGCAAGAGCGAATTCAGATCACTATACATGAAAACCAGGTCCTTATTTAGGATGAGACCACCATAGATGAAACGAATGCAAGTTATTGAAAGGGACCTTATTACAAAGGAAGAGAAACAAAGAAAAACAACAGATCACTTGAAAGAAAACTTGGATCAAGCACCACCTGTAGCACATCCACAAACAGCCTTCAAATCGTCAGCCAATATCAATCTTCCGGCGAAAGCAGATGTCTTCAAATCCATTAAATTACTAAAAAAATAGAGGCATTCGGAAGGCATCCCTGGAATCGCTGAAAACCGATACACAGACCTCGACGAATATCCTCATAATACTATAACACAAATGTCAGGTAAACCTTCGGATCTGAAAAAGAGCTAAATCAACATTTACAAAAGCTGGTGCAGAATCACACTTATGTTCATACAAATCGAGCTATGAAGTGGTTAGACAATGAAGATTCCGAAAAATGTTGTGGATGCAAATCCGTGATATGATATGTGCTAATCCAATTGCAGTTCTGCGTATCGTCAACAAGCAGAGGCTGGATTGAAAGTCAAACATCTACCCAAGTTCTTTGGCTTTAAAAATGCCGTAAATAGCGTCGTCAGCCAAGTATTCTGGAACTGATTCAAAATACAGAGTGCCTCTGCAGGGCCTCTACGACAGAGTATGCTTTTATCACTCAAATGTAGAGGTGAATGAGAAATTTAGAAGGATGGCGCGAGTAACCACTGAAAAGGCATACTTCCTTTATGATTTGAAGGGTTTTCTTCGACCACAAATATGTAAATGGCCTACTGTTTTTTTGATCAGTTTTTCCACTTCATTTTCTCTCTGCCACCCTTTCAAATATAATGGTTTAAAAATGAGTTTAAAGGTTTTCAACAATATCACGAGCTGTCAGTCGGTTATTTGGGTAATAATTTTGACAAAAATGTCGGTTCCTTATCCCAAACATTTGTCAGCCTAGTTCAACAGCTGTTTGATAAGACTGCATGCCAATCCATTCACCATGCAAATCTAGTGAAGTCAAGATGGGAATTAGAAATGGTTGCCAACATTTTTCGATGATGTTCCTTGTTGTGGTTGACTGGATCATGCGACAGACAGTAGGGTGAGAGAGGGAAGGTACAATTTTGACCACTAGGAAAGCTCTAAAGTATATGGACTTTATGGACAGTTTGTGTCAATGTCACACAAACCTCGAAGACCCTAGAGAATGCCGACAATTTGGCAAAAGAGTCAGACAGAAAAGAGAGGACTTCGGGCGAATGAAGAGAAGGCAGAAGTAATGACGTTATCTGGCTAGTAACAGTGAGCGCTGGTCACCATCAAAGGGAGAAATTTAAACAAAGTTATTTCTTTCACCTATCTACACGTCATCAAAGTAACGGATAAGTTTGCTAGAGATGGCATCGGAAAGACAACATACACCTTTATTAACCTGACATCTGTGTAAAAATATTCTGCACTCAGCATAGTGAGCAAGATAAGAATTTCTAATCTTAGTGTAAAACTAGTCAGTGCCTCTCTATTGTTCAGAATCTCTGATAGTTTCACCAGAGGCATTGCTGGTACACTGCACAATGTTATCAATGCCTCCCTTCACTGGACACCGAGGATTACAAGAGTGAATACTTAACACAGGACTTTGAGCACTCAGTAGCGAAAAATTCAGTTTCTAAAAAGTGACGTGAAAAGACTGCTGAGTGTGATCATTTCAGATGACAGCCCATGTGGGACCCGTATTCGGAACTACTACCAGGCGCACAAGGGTGACATGGAAGAAGTGAATGGATGAGATAAAACCTACGTATAACCGTAGAGCCAGCCAGAGAGGACTGTAGAAAACAGGATTAGCTGGAGATGTGCTCTGCTAACCATGGATAATTATATGCCCCTACACAGGCTCTTTCACCATCATATATTTTGTGGAGAGTGATATAACAAGGTCGTTGTTTATGGTTTTCATGCTAATTGTGTTATAACAGTCATGAGATGTGACTGGTAGGTTTGAAAATATTCATTTTTGATCGCTGTTTGAATATCTATTTCCTACTATCATTTGCTAACCACTCTCAAAATTGAAAGTATTTCTAAAGTTCCGAAACAACAGACAGGCCAAACAAATTTGAATGAAGCTAAGGAGTATACTCTAGACTGTGAAGCTTACGTATAAACTGTTATAATGTCTTTCGCTTTGACCTTTATAAGCGTATGGCTTATGATAATTTCAGAACACCTTTAGAAAGCAGTAGGATAGTAGTGGTCTTTTCAGTATGAAACATCTGGTTTTAGAGTTTCTCCTACTACACCTACTAGTATTATATTTGACAGGATTCTCACATAGGGAAGAAACTCAACCCCGATGTGTGAAGAAACTTATGTGGAAATGGCCAAAATTTCGCAGAATAGTTTACAAATATTTCTAAAATTCGGTGGGACTGGAGGGACACAGTTTTACATTACTACCTTGGAAGATTCAGGCTGCTTTTTACGCAAATCAATGTTTTAACCCCAGCTGATGTTAGCAATGAATAGTTCACGCCTAATTAACCTAATTTCAGTGTTGATGTTCCGCACGACGATCCCGAACCCCGAGGAGTTCTTCCAGATATGATACGCTGCTCTGACAATGTACCAATAAGTAAATGTTCAAATAAAATCAATACCAAACCCCCACTAATCTGCTGCACGATTTATTTCATGCGTTGTATTGCGACTACGACTAAAACAGAATCATATAAATAAAATCCATGGGTCATATGAATACACTGATGTGATCAAAGGCAGTCACTGGTATAAGAACAGAACTTGTGCACTGTGGTAAAGTATAATTCCATTATGAATGAACTTTCTTCTGGTAAAGTCTCACAGTGTTATACAGTAGTATCTACTGATGACACTCAAATTAATCAGGCCGACCGCTGACATCAAAATTGTATCTGCCTGCTATCGAACCTCAGACTATGTGCATGGCCGCCAGGCGTCCTAACCGCTGTGCAACTGACGCACATAGATTTGCACAGCAATTTTCTATGACGCTAAGATTGTGAATGCGTTGCTCCTCTCCTCTGCATAAGAAAGTTAATAACACGGTAATCGCCTAACAAGACTCTCCATTTTTAGTTCAGTATTGATAAACAGAAGTTTTTGCACTTTGGTGTTAGGAGTTAACTTGTTGACTGTGTAGCTCCTTTCGGCAATACATTTGGCATGAAGACCTCATATTGAAATCAAAAGTGTACATGTTTTACCAAATCTAACACATTTCCTGTTTGGATTCGATGTTCTTTAAGTGGTCATTCAACAACTGCTGGATGTCGCTATCAAGCTGAAATTATAACTCCTAATCCTGCGAATTGTTGTCGTTTTCATTGGCAGCAGTTCACAATCTACTTAGGAGATACTAACCAGGTCCTCTTGAAAAGTGTTGCGTCAGTTTGTGGACTATACGAACTATACGAATCACATTCTATTCACTTCAATACTAAAAGCAAACTACGAGGGTACATATTTTTTCAGGAAGGATGTAATACAGAGCTCATTTCTACGACTTTTGCCCTTATTTTAGTTCAGGTTCGTCATGCATATTTTAATGGAATTATTTCTTATTGAA